GGGGGGGAGTTATTAACATGGGGTGCAGTATGGGGGGGGAGTTATTAACATGGGGTGCAGTATGGGGGGAGTTATTAACTTGGGGTGCAGTATGGTGGGGTTATTAACATGGGGTGCAGTATGGGGGGGGGAGTTATTAACATGGGGTGCAGTATGGGGGGGAGTTATTAACATAGGGTACCTCGGTCACATAAGGTTAGCGCTGTCTCCGGTCATGTTTTCCTGGACACATAACATATGTACCTATTGATGGGCAACACAAAAAGTCTTGTAGTCAGCAGCATTCATATGCTTCAGGTTATGCTCATATCCTGCGTATGTGTCCAGTAGAAGGTAGGTTATGGAATCCACCCTCCTGCATGCTGTCTGCCATGCAGTGAATAGCATTCTTATGCTACAGAAAGGAAATCCATTCATGTATCAAATCCTAAATGCTTTCCCCCCATGCTGAAGGTAGATACTGTTTCCTTACAGGGCAGCACTTTTCATGTAGTGGCCATGAGCATGAAGACATGAAACCTGGTGAATCTGGCTGTCTACTCCTGTGTTTATTTGCTGACAAAACATGCAGCTGGGAGGGCTTCTCTTATGATCCTCAGCCAGCCTGTGCCCAGCAGCATTCTGTGTCATTGTTTTATAAGTTGTAGTGCAGCAGCTGTGGGGTGTAAGTGTGCCTGTGTTGTTAAATCTATAGTTGATCTAATTACATGCATGGTAAACATTTAATAGCCGGGAAATATTTATAGAGATCGCCGCCTCATGGATGTATTTATAATATACAATACTCTCTAATACAGGGATGGCCAGGGGAAGATCTGTCCGCTGTTGTTGACTACAAAGCCTATGATGCTTTACCAGCCTTAGTGAAGTCTTTAACCCCAAAGGATGCTGGGTTATGTGGTTACTCATTGCTGTAACCCAATCAGGTCCATTGGCAGGGGGCAATGTATTAGTATATTGTTCTGGAAGAGAATACGCTGACGTAATGATTTATCCAGTCTTTACATGGGAAATAAAACGGATCGAGACCTTTGCTATCCTGTTTTTCGGTTTGCACACTGTTCTAGATAACCTTGGGAAGTTAATATTTAAGATCTGTACTCTGCATTTTGTTTCCCATTAACCTCTGTGTTAAAGTTAACTGTAGGCGTGTTGCCACATTGTTTAACCCTTCCAGAGAGAGATCCCCAGCCAGGACTGTCATGTTATAAAGTGATTTTCTTAACCTCCTGCCACAGCAGGTTTTAACTAACGTAGGAAGCCGGTTGGTTTCCTTTGTTTTTTTTATAACTTTAGATGTTGGTAGCTGTATTGCCTGGGGCAGTACTGGGAGCATAAGGTGCCTTTTGTTAAGGTGTTGTTTTTTTTTTAAATTTTTTTAAAGTCCAGGAGAAATAGGGAAACGCAATAACGAGTTATAAACTTGTTTCAAAAAAGCCACACAGAGTTAAAAGGACGTCATTAAGGTGAGTTAAGGCTAAGATCAGCAGGGTTTATGGTTGAAGTAGTTATGGTGGTATCATAATTTTTGGGGATACCTGCCTTCTTCAATAATTTACAAATGATGTCGCTTTGAAGATGGGTATCCCTAATCCTACCAAATGGGGTGCACCCCTTTTAATACCTTATCATATTTTGGTTACTGCAATACCCCTTTTAACAGCGAGGGTTATTTTTACAATTAAACATGACTTTTCCAGTAAAATGTTCCTCATTACACAGCGAGGCTTCGATCAGGGCATTTCCCTTCAATATTGGTAAATGCACAATGACATTAATCTGATTCCTGAAGGACCTGTGACTGCCATATATTATCTTGTGACCTTTGCCATGCACAATGCTAGTTTCTGGACTTTAGAATATCAGAACTAATATTAAAAGTTCTCAGGAATTTTCTCAAATTGATTTAAAGATGTTGTGGTATTTGTATATCCCTCCAGTACTCACAGGGTGTAACTCCTTTTTGAAGCCATGGTCCCTGGCAGAACATGCTGTGTATAATTGCTTATTTCAGCTGTAATTGCTTTAGGAACGCACACACATCTAAGTGCATGTGACTGTAACGTGGGCAGTGAAATGTGATGCGGATATTTACCGTTCCCAGGAATTACAGTTATCCCATCATTTCTCAGACCCAGAGGGGGGGGGATTCGTTTTTCATGAGCAATGAAGACATCTTTTCATCTGTTATAAGGCTATTCAGAACTACCAGCCTAACTATTCCTGCCCGCAGCTCCTCGTTCTGGGAAGATTGTAAGGTTCCTGACGATACTGATCACCTAAACTCTGCGCTGACCCACAGAATTTGGTGAGATAAAGTTTAAAACAGGTTACTGAGCCCAACCCTCTACTGAATATATCTGGAGTCATACTGATAATAATGAATATCATTATACTGTTTCTTTGGGGTTTTTTCTTTTATCCTTTATATCCGATTACCAAATTAGACATGAATTTTCACTGTTTCTACGTGCTGGTGGTTAATACATGAAAAGTGCTGACCTGCAGAATGTAGCAATCCTGTGTTGCAGGACGGAATGATGTGATTTATTTAAGGCAGTTTCTTGCCTTTTTATTTAATGGACTGATTTCCTCTCCCCGCTGATTTATCATTCTGCAGGGCAGCACTAGTCATATAGTGAAAAACGGATACCTACAGCGCTGCGGAATTTGTTAAATATGTTCAGGAAAACATGGTGGATCTGGAAACCATTTATATATATTTTGTTTTCTTCAGAAAAGCCCTAACCGAAGTCAGACAAGATGGCTGAAACACCACATTTAATTAATGGTGAAGGACAGACGGATCTCTGGGCATCTCACAACAAGATGGTGCTGGAGCCTCTTGAAACAAACGATCCAGAGGTAAGCGAGTACCCCTAAATAAATCCCATATCCATTATTTGTCACCCCAGTAGTCTTGGAGATATTGACATGTATAGGACCTTATTCCTTATAGGGCTCTGTCACAGATTGTGTCAAAGATCACAGTTTACCCATATAGACTGCTTGGTGATTTCATTCCAATTCCAACACAATTTAAAGATCCCATGAGATGAAGTACAGACCATTTTGTTTTATGTTACAGATAATTAAGCTCTCCCCAAGCTGTATAATGTTGGCTTTCAGCTCTGGACTAGTTTGCGGTTTTCTCTCATTTCCAGTTTAGTGAATAATCTCATTCGTATAAGTGTATTTTCATGTAAATGGTTTATTATTCTTATTACTGTACATGGCTTATACATTATAATTGACAACTCCCATCATGCACTCACAAGTAGGAATTCGCAGGAATATTGTATATTTTACCCATCTGCTAACCACCTGCAGACCATGCTGATCTCGCTGGAAACGTATGGCTTTTGTTTTTTCATGCTCGGTGGGAAATTTTTATATTAAGAAGAAAAACAACTCGTGGACAGAATTTAGTTAACTCATACTGAGCAAAAAGTTGGAGTGAGATGGAAATTCACTCTCCCCACCCTCCCTCCCTAATCTCCGCTGCTATACTGTTGGTGAACTACCTAAACCACATCTAATGCAGGTTTTAGGGTTTCTAGAACAAGAATGGTTGGTACCAGACCAGTCGTGTTTAGTTTGTTTATTTCTCAGTTTATTCAAAAGAGATTCTATCCTATTGCAGCAGATGCTAACCTTCACACTGCATATTTATATCTGACTCTAGTTCCCATGATGCTCAGCTGGTGCATCATGATGGGAATTGTAGTCGATTATTTTAAATACTGGCCTCCAGTTTAGAGTATGTCATTACAGACATATCGGCATATTCTCTTCCAGAACAATATACTAATACAATACTAATGCCTCCTGCCAATGGATCTGATTGGGTTACAGCTATTTTAAACACTGGCCTCCAGTTTAGAGTATGGGTGCAGTAATTCTGTCCTGTTGGCACTGTTCCGCTGTAATGATTACCAATTCCTCCTTTCTTCCACCAGGTGTATGAAATTATCCGTAAGGAGAAGCATCGCCAGACATTCGGCCTTGAACTCATCGCATCTGAGAATTTTGCCAGCTGTGCCGTTCTACAGGCCTTGGGCTCCTGTATGAACAATAAATACTCAGAGGGTTACCCGGGGCAAAGGTGAGAGGGCAGTCCACAGTCCGTGGTTTCATTATTCCTGCTGTATTTCATAACTCCAACTGTAAGTGAGGCTACTGGGGAAAATACAACAGGTCAATTCCTCCTCCCTCAAACTCTGACCTGTCCTGTGAGGTTTGTGATTAATTTGTAATGTTGGATCATAGCAGTCACTCATTCAGTAATATGGTTGCTCCCACCAATTTTCTTTTACCTAGTGAATATAATATAGAGCGCAGTAAACACTCCAAGGACACTCCATCACCATGACTAATCTTAATGAAGTTGTTATGGTATATAAAGGTCCAGGGTGTTGTCTTATTTTTAACAAAGTGCTGATCACAGTGTATGTCCTCCTGGCCACTCTGCTTCACTGCAGAAACCTTTCAGTAATGTCTGTGATAGGCTGAGAACATTATAATGTCTCATAGCCCCCTCTCCCAGTGCCATGGTTCACCGTTGTATGTGCAGATATTTCTGTCTATTTACATGTGTGTGAATTGCATGTATGACTTTCAGTAGAACCTGTCATTGGATAGGGTTTTATGATATGTTTTCTTTTAAACAGTGAATGATAGTTAATTTACAGCCAAATTTTATAATTCATACAAAATCGCTGAGTTGGTAAAGTTTTCAATCTCCCCTAATTAGGCTGAGATTTTGTAATTAAATTTGCAAAAAAAAATGTAAAGTACACTGCACTCCAAAAACAACTTTGCTGTGTTTATGCCTTTAATTCCGCTTTAATCGCCCACAGGGACCTTCTAGAGCAGGGGTTCTCAACCCAGTCCTCAGGACCCCCTACCAGTCCAGGATTTGGGGATTACCTGGGTGTGTCTCAGGTGTTTAGAAAAAGGGAAAAAAACACCTTAGACTGTAAGGTGTTTTTTTTTTTCTAAACACCTTCGACACACCCAGGTAATCCCTAAACCCAGGACTGGTAGGGGGTCCTGAGGACTAACGTTGAGAACCTCTGTTCTAGAGTCTTTTGCACCTGGTAATAGCTATTTAATGATCTCTTTCAGAATATTCACCCCAAGGAGTGTTGCAGGGCTGATAAACACATTGGGTATTTAACAAACAGGAATGTTCAGAATTCCTGAGCTGTGGATAAATATACACCAGGTGTGGGGTACCAAAACTGCACCAAACCTGAATCACTGGGAAATGATACTAAATAGATACACAGGCTGTTCGTAGAAATCTTAAAATAAACTATCCAGAGTCAAGCAATTTCTCCTAAATAAAACACTTATGTCAGCTGATCAGAGATCATTAAATACACGTGAACTTATTCTTTTATAAACCGGCACTGTCGCAAAGAATCTTTATTAAAGCCTTATTAAGAGGGAGTCTGTTTACAAGACATTTCAGTGTAATCAGAAGGACTACTTTGTCTTTTGTCCAGGCTTTTATCTGGCATAATGTGATAAAATATAAAATTATATGAAGCACTGCTTTGTCTTTTGTCCAGGCTTTTATCTGGCAAAATGTGATAAAATATAAAATGAGCATCTCACAGCCTCTGCCTGCTATGTCTTGCCAACTCCCATCTGAAGCTACGTGAAATGTATCGCATGATGGCTCACTCTTCCTGTTATATGAGGGATTGTGTGTTTATGAAATCCACTCTCTAGGTTGAAATGTTTATGGCCTAGACTCGTAGTATTCATTTTCTATAAACCCCACAAGCTTGGGAGGAAAGGGTTAATTACTGCTTTCTCTATTGGGACAGGTACTATGGAGGTACAGAGTGTGTCGATGAGCTGGAAAGGCTATGTCAAAAGAGAGCCCTGGAGGTGTATGGCTTGGACCCACAGAAATGGGGTGTCAACGTGCAGCCATATTCTGGTAGGAATTGACATGCTGTGCTCTTTGAAAGCAATTGAGATAAATAAGTGATATTCTTGAAACCTTTTTTTTTTTTTTTCACATCACAGAAGTCTTGTGCTTTCAGGAAGATGATATATAGAATGTAAGTTTTCATGGAATGGGCAGAACAAACTCCATCAGGATTATGCAAGTGTGAATTGTAGGGAATGGAAAATTCTAAGTGATTTTCACATTTTAAGCCAAATGATCAATTGTGGGGGGAAAAAAAATCTCCAAGTCACTTATGGATTCAGATAACTATTTAAGCCTAAACTTTGAATTCCTGTCAATTTAGTGAATAACCCAGAGTTATTTGTGAGTAGGCAGATCAGGATTTCCACGTTGGCAGTTCCCGGGTTCAATGCGGAAGGCTTACACCTTGCGTGCAGACCTGTATATTCTTTATTCATGGACCCTGTGTTTCAATGCCTAGATCAGCATGTCCCAGAGACGCAGTCCTGCACACTCATTGTGTTAACCCCGAGTTACTGCTCTTCCTGGTTACATCATGTCCGTTGCTTGACTTCAGGTTCCCCTGCCAATTTTGCTGTGTACACTGCCCTTGTGGAGCCCCATGGGAGGATCATGGGATTGGACCTGCCAGACGGAGGACACCTGACCCATGGCTTCATGACAGAGAAGAAGAAAATCTCTGCCACGTCCATCTTCTTTGAGTCCATGCCATACAAGGTATGGTAGATATTGCCCACCATTGTCTGATAGGGTACAGGTGCAAGGTATTTTAATTGAATTGCATTGTGGTGGAAAAAGAGAACGGGATTTTGTTACTTATTGAGCTTTTTATTAATGGGTGCCCAGATCTGCCTTTATTATTAGCAGTTACAATGATTTTCCATCATTACTTGTCAGGTCTCTGTGTGCATCTTTGAAAATCCTCTTCCATCATCCCCTTAAGTAGTATTGATGCTTTAATTAATTATCTCACTCTGTCCCATAAGGGCCGTATGTGACTCCTGCTTATTTATTTATCACTGACCGCTCTACCAGCTTGTGGATACTAAGCAGTTTGCCTGAAGGCCAGGTTATACCAGAGCACTCTCTCTAAGCCACAGGTTGAAGGATAACATGGAATGTTATTAGTTAACACGTGAATGATAATATCCTTGGTTTCCTTAAAGAATGGTAGGCATTTTATATACGTATATTTAAAGTCTATCGCGGTATTAAAATAGACTTTTCACACAATTCTAGCAGCACAGACTGTAACAGACTGCATATTGCTAAAATCTTACTGTAAGGCTTAATCCTAATCCGTAAAAATCCAAACTATTGAATATCCTTTATACACACTTCTATGCAGAACTCCCAAATGCTTGGTGTATTATTACAGCTCCTTGTAGTGCTTTTGTTTACTTGTGTGCCTGGGCACCTTCCCCTTTTTGGAGGCAGAGGCTATATGACAAAAAAATGGATTAGCATCCTTTAATCAATACTTGCGTGTTTTGTGCTTTAATCTACAGGTGAAGCCCGATACAGGTTACATAGACTACGACAGGCTAGCTGAAAACGCTCGCTTATTCCATCCCAAGCTGATCATTGCTGGTAAGTTTTAAAACTGCAGGAACGCAAACCGCCAATAGGGGCCAAGTGCTGTAATCTAGAACTTTAAAAAGGTTATTCACTTGCGTGTAATTGTCACAAATTCAAAGTGAATTTTAAAACTGAATGCACGACTGACTTGGAGAATAATTTGGCTATTATGACCGTAAAATGAGAAATTCACTTTGAATTCCCGACAATTCACATTTTAGTGCTTTACCCTGCCGGTACTCTCAGGGACAGAACACGACAGAAGGACCGGTATTCTACTGCCATGATGACTATCCTTGGCAAATCGGACATCTGTGAATGATATTTTCTGTGAAGCCTAGCCAGTATGCTGTTGATTTTACAGCAGCCTATTCATATAATAAGTAGGAGTTTATTTTTTTTTATTTGTTTGCTCTTCCCATTTAGGGGTCAGCTGCTACTCGCGAAACCTAGACTACGCTCGCATGCGGGCCATTGCAGATGAGAATAGCGCAGTCCTCATGGCTGACATGGCACATATTAGTGGGCTGGTGGCTGCTGGAGTGGTTCCCTCTCCTTTTGAACACTGCGATATCGTATCCACAACAACTCACAAAACGCTACGAGGCTGCCGGGCAGGGATGATCTTTTACCGTAAAGGTGTGTTGGGGGTTGGTGTGGGAGCCAAGAAAGCGCTAATGCTGTGTCTTGAAAGTAACTGTAAAAGCCTTACTGAAATGAAGTTTCATACTGTGCGTTTCACAGTACTTTGCGTACTGTGCGTTTCACAGTTTTCTTCTCCAACCTGCAGCAGCGCAAGCCAATCACACATTATTTTGTAAACCCTTTTTTTTTTTTTTTTTCTATGTTTCTAATAGTGTAACATGTTCAAGAAAATATACTTGAACCTTATGTGGTTTGCCTGAAATACTTACATGGTATGTGATGTTTTCTTGTGCCCAGGTGTTCGTAGCGCGGACCCAAAGACCGGGAAGGAGATCATGTATAACTATGAGAATCTGATCAACCAAGCAGTCTTCCCTGGACTTCAGGGGGGCCCTCATAATCACGCTATCGCAGGTACGTGGAATGAAGAGTCACTTACAGCCTGAAAGGGTTTAGGTTTCTCTCTTTTTTTTTTCTTCAGCCTTTGTAAAGGGAAGCAGTCACTTTTCTAAAAAATTGCAGCATTGAATAGATGTTCAAAATCATCTGTGAAAATGTATTTTTACTTGTGTTAACCTTTATTCATGTGCTGCTGCTTTATGATAAAATTTAGAAATTGACATCCGAATCGACACATTTTGAAAAGGAGGAGAACCTGAATTATTGGTTACTTTCCCCTCCTCTATGTACATTTCTCCATACAGTCTGCCAGGAGCAATGGACAAAGCTTACAGCAATGATTGGCAGGGAGTTGAGGTAAAATAATGAGCTCACAAATACATATGTATTAACTATAGGGATAAGTTAATATAATATTAAAAATCCTGGGAAGTTATTCATTACTTTTTGTAACTATATGATAGCACCGTTTTCTGTCTGGTTTAAGTTGACCGTATGAACTTGCAACTCATGCTAAGAATTCCATAATCTGATGTGAGTAAAATGCAGCTCTTTGCCATGCGGTGACCTGCAAACATTGAGACTGGCCATAAAACTGCAGTTAAAAGTTGTTTTCGAGAAGGATCGGCAGAAACTGTGTCAGAGGGCTGTGCAGATTATTGCCAGCTGCAGGATGTCTGGGCAAAAACAATGCTACTGAATCTTTTACTACAGGGCTGGGGAATCTTTGGCCCTCCAGATGTTGTGGACTACATCTCCCTTGATGCTTTAAGAGCATTATGGCTGCAAGAGCATTATGGGAGATGTAGTCCAAAACAGCTGTTGGGCTGAAGGTTCCCCATCCCTGTTTTACTGGGTTGAGAAGTGCAGCGGACATAAAGGCTCACTTACCTCTTCAGCACTCCTGTATTCAGACAATCATTATCCTGCACTCTGCATTTGCAGAGAATGCTGTACACTTATTATTCCTTCTACTGAAACAAGAGCTTGGTGGTATACAGTGTGTACAAACACCAGTGTGCAATCCTCTAATATTCACAAAAAGGGAACGGTGAGACATAGCCAAACCATTAAGCAATATCTTAATGGTGGAACGTGCAAAAAAATGAATGACCTTTATAGTTCTACTGGGAACAGATGTTTCTCATAAACAAATAAGAAATTTAGTGTAATCTGTGCTGGTAAAATATGTGTATAGTGTAATTCTCTCAAAGGGCAAATCACATGATATGGAGCCAAAAATCAAAGGGATCCTGGTAGTATAGGAGTTGGTTTTTAACGGTTCCTCCATAGACAAAGCATTTTTCCCCTCAGCCATTAGTCGCTAGTGACAATGATTGACAGCGGTAGTTCTCCCTTTTTGTTTTAAATAAATATACACATCTATATCTTTTGACTGCGTTTGAATTTAAGGAAAATTCTAACCTTTTTTTATGAGCATTTTATAAAGATTTTATCTTAATGAAATGCTTTTTTTTTTGGGAGGACACTGCCAATATTAATAAGAGGGTAGTTTCTCTTACATATTGTTGTTCAGCACAGAGGTAACTGTCTGGAATTGACCGGTGAATTTAATAGTTCAGGTCAAAATTCCCCAGCTCAACTATTTTGGTGTAGAATCGGAAATCTGACAATACGGTGTTTAGTGAATAAGCCCTCGAGTGTAAGACATGGTTGACTTCCCTAAATTTTGCAAAATGTTTACAATATGATGCTTTATGTAAATGTAAATTTTTATTTCTTTGCTCTTTTTGTCAGGAGTGGCAGTAACTTTAAAGCAAGCTTTTACTCCAGAGTTTAAACTCTACCAGAAACAGGTTCTTGCCAACTGCCAGGCGCTGGCGGCTGCTCTGGAGGAGCTTGGGTACCACATCGTTACTGGTAAGAACCAAGAATCCCTATTCGTGTTGGGCTTTCCAAAGTGATATTCTATCAAACAGATCAAATGTACACCCCGTGTAAGTGACGGGTTAATGGTGAATGATGTAGGATTATCCTATAAAGCACTATTACTCGGATTGGACACTACTTCCCTTCAGTCTGATCACTTTATTTCAGGGGGCTCTGATAACCACCTCATTCTGGTCGATCTTCGGAACAAGAAAACGGACGGTGGGAGAGCAGAGAAAGTGCTTGAAGCGTGCGCCATTGCCTGCAACAAGAATACCTGCCCAGGTATGGGGCTCTGGGGATAGATTGGGCATAGTGGAGTATGTGAGATGTTTCCTGTAAAGCAGCACACACCCCTCCCCCATGAGATAATCTCTTTAGGTACTACTTTGTCTTAGTATTTATCTTACGCTTCACAAAAGGCACAGCTACTTTTGTCAAGTTTTGTAATTTTTTTTTCCCTGTAAGTAAAAAGGCTCTGTCTATTCAGGATCCAACTGTATCACAGGATCCTTAATAGACTTCAGTGTTGTACTCTCGCTCGTGCGCAAGAGTACAAAACTAATATGGGCTCCGCCAAAGATCAATAGGATCGTCAGAGAGACCATGGCGGCAGCGGCAAGGGACAGGTTCAAGTAAGTATAGCTCTTCTTTTCCTGCACCCCAGACCACCTGACACCTAGTGGAACAGTCCCCAATTGTGCAAGATCCAAGATGGTGACAGAACCACTTTAAGTGATGTCACTGGTTCTGATAGGATGGGGTTGAACTTAATAAACTTTTTTTTTTTGGGGGGGGGGGGGTTTATGGTTTTTTTTTATTATTATCAACCTATACCCTTTGAACCTTGTCAGCCACATTGTGCTAGAAAATATGAATATTATTCTGCTACACACTCTCTATAATCTTGTGTAGTCACATTTGTTTTATGCAGAAATCGCTCAGCCTGTGATTGTGCCATTTCAGGGGACAAGAGTGCTCTACGGCCTAGTGGCCTCCGGTTTGGAAGCCCAGCCCTCACGTCTCGTGGATTTCGAGAAGCAGACTTCAAGAAAGTGGCGCACTTTATTCATAGAGGTAAATGTTAACCAATAGCTCTCTAGTAGGGCTGGACATTTATAGAGAACCAGTATAGGACCGTACAATATATAGTTGGCACTAAATAAAAAAATAAAAAAAGTTACTCTGCTGCTCCCAATTTAGTGCATGTAGAATTATTTTTTTAAGTTGGTAAGATTTGCCATGAACTTACAATCTAATGGCAATGAAATGTTTAAAGGGGATCTATCAGGCCCTACAAACGCATTTGATAATACAGGAGATAAATATTGACACTCCAACCCTTGAAAGGAACACTCAAGTCTTGGGAATACAAACTTCTGTTCCTTTAGTGATCCTGGTGTCACCCATCCTGAAGCTCCCTTGGTGTTGTTCACCTTTTCTCAGAGGAGCATTGCATTACATGTGCAGCAAGTGTCCCACCGGCTTCCCATAGGAAAACATTGAATCAAAGCTTTTTATGAGGGCTTCCGCATCAGATGACGGAGTTGTTGTTGTATTTTTAACTGCGTGACGCAGAAGCGCCTCTAGTGGTGGTCTGTATAACAGCCACTAAAGGTGGACTCAATCATGAAATTGTAACTTAAAAACAAACAAACCAAAAAAAAAACCTACACTGTTTTACATTGCAGTGTTTAAAGGACAGAACCCCTTTGTTGAGATGAGGTGCATTGGTTGGCTTTAGTGGTCCTTTTTAAATATTAAAAACCAGATTTCACAGGGTAAGTTCCTGCACAGGAATAAAGGCATCTGAGGTTTCTTATCTAAAATAGGCGTTCTTATATTACAGGCATTGAGCTGACGCTGGACATTCAAAATGATCAAAATCCAAAAGCCACTCTGAAGGAATTTAAGGAGAAACTTGCTACAGATGACAAGTACAGGGAGAAAATCTCTTCCCTCAAGGAAGAGGTGGAGAAGTTTTCAGGTTTATTTCCTATTCCTGGACTCCCTGATCTTTAAATGGGCTTTATTTTAATTTGTATTTGTGTTGACTGACAGATATTACCAACTGTTTTGACTCAAAATCTGAGCTGTCCTTTCTATCAAGTTATTTCTTAACAACTGTATCTCTCTGCTTGTTTTGGTCTCGCTACTGTGAATACTGACTTGATATTTAGAAAATATTCTGCTGCTAAGATAACTGGCCAAAAAAGTGAAACTGACTACCTTGTAAGAGGCTGCCTCAATCTCTCTTCTAAAGAATGAATGTTTCTACTTTTCTATAAACTGATGTGTAATTTTAATTGTAAACCAGGAGTGTTTTCTTCTAGCAGAAGACATGAGACACACTAATAATATTGTAACGGTTATATGGTACATACTGTGTAGGGTAAGTGGGCTGCAGACACAATAAAACTGCGACTGATCACATAAACTGTCCCGTATATCGGCATTGTATACAATTCATTCCTTGAGTGCCAGAAGAAGGCAAAGCAACAAATTCACCCACTGTTGATCTTTATCTCACACTTGATACATCAGGTTTTGGACGTTTTTTTCGTTCTCTCACTGTAGATTTTAATTGTAGTTTAACACGGTGTATGTGAATAAGAAATGTTTTACTCTACACGATAAGTGCTGCTTTTAAACTGTTCTTATTTCCATCAAAAGTAAAACTTATCACAATGAGACTGGTGATTTTTTTCCAGCTTGTCTTTAGGTGATCACATAAAACATTACTTTAATTACTGTCCTCTGATCTTGATTTTAAACAACTTTTTTCTTTATACTGTTTTAGTGTTCATGTGAAGTCTAGTTCCCCCTGCAGGAAAAATATTATACTAGTTTACATACGTTTTTTCCCCCCTCACATTTTTACTGCTCTTCTGGGAGAGAACCTGGACAGTCTAGTGAAACTCCTACTACTTTGACCACACTCAAACCTTGAACAGTATAAACGTCTATATAAGTGGCATTGGACCCAGTTTGACGGTCCAGTCTTTACATTTCTATTTTCTTCCAGTATAGTAAAATATATAAAGTCTGAGTTTTCCAAATGTCTCTGAAAAATGTAAATAATACGTGCATGTCACTGATCAATTCTGTATGGTTAAACACCATTGCAATCATGCAGGCTTATCCACTAACGTGGGAATGATCAGGTATCAACAGTGGTTTACAAATTTTAGCCCAAATTAGACACATTCTTCAAGGCAGTTCTCAGCTTTTTTTCGTCCTAAAATTTGACTTCATGACAATTAACACACATCCCTGAATGTAAAACCCCTTTGGCTGGACAGTCAAAGAACCAGAAGTGAAATTAAGTGCCCGGTATTGGAAAAAATTGCACGTTTATTCACAAAAACCAACTGCACAAATGGGACTCAGAAGAGGCTTAAACATTCTTTATTCTGACTGGTCTCCAGCTCTGCAAAATTAAACACAAAGTATGCATACATGCAGCATTTTGAGCAATGATGCTCACATATCTAAGGGCCCACACATGCACCATCCTTTCCCTTGGCACTGCCACCCTGAAATGCCTAAACTAGGACAATTCACACGGCAGAATTTCCTTTCCATGCCACCAATTACTTCCACCCCAGGCAATGGTAAAGTTGGGTTAAATTGTATTAGGACTGAGGTCACTGGTCACAAAGGACAATTCAGATTCTTCAGGGCAGCAGTGCCATCTCTGGCATAAACACACTTTATTTCCCCAGCAGCTAACAAAATAAATACATTTCCCAAAACATAAGTTCATATAATCATTTGTGCATAAAGTTGATTTAAAAAGTACATGATAATTTTTTTTGTAGGGAGGGGAAGCTTTCCAAGCTTCTAAAAGTTTCACAGTTTTACAAAAAATTAAGTCACAGTGAATTACAAACAAACAGAAAAATACAGTTGGACGCAGGGCTTTGGATCACAATAAGTGGTTGTGAGTGACATGCCACTAGAAGCGCTTATTGAATGAAACAAACTGGGGCTGTTGACAGGTCAGATATGTTATGGTTCCTTCACTACCTGAAGACAACTCAGTTATTTCAGAGGAGAATAAAAGATCACACACAAAAACAGCTGTGCATTACCCAAATCATGGGGTAAATAAAAAAAAAATTATCTCACGTATGCCCTAAAATCAGGACTAGGCTACCTTCAGCACTCTTTTGTGGACATCTTTGCTGATGCTTTGCCAGAATTATGGCTATAAGTATTAAGGGAGATGTCGTCAACAACAGCTAGAGTACCAAACATTTCCCTGCCCTAGATAGTTTTTGTGCAACCCCATAACTCACTTTGAGAAAATACTGGACATACCAAGCTGGTTATGGTGCGTAGATTGCCTATTTAAGAAGACACCGAGTTTCCCAACTCAAATTAGGGCTTTAGGGTTATTCACCAAAGTGCCTCTAAGTGGAGACAATCACTACCCACTTTACAACGGTCTTTAAACCGATGGGCAGTCTAAAAAAAAAGTGCTGCTCTGCAGAATGTAGAAAACAATGTCAATTCATGAAGCAAGGAAGTATAACTAGAATTGATTTTAATTACTTGATTTCTCACTCCAATCATACAGCATGCCATCTCTTTTTATGTGCTGTTCCACAGCATAGTGCGTTTATGGGCCCAACTAGGAGACTAGCAAATTAAAGTGACTTTCAGAAGAAAGATGGCTTGAGAATGAAAACATTTATTCTAACTTTACCAAGCTCTTAAATCAGTTATGCAGTTTCGTTTCATCGTTTAAACAGGTGCCTGCCTGTAATTTGCCATTTTAAACAAACCTCAAACTGCACCATACAATATCCAGGACAGGCATAAGAAAATCTTATTGACTCCATATATGTGAGGTGAGTTAATCAAATAGTGCACGTCTGCTGCAACGAATGGCACATTAAATATATAGCAGAACTAGAACAAGGGTTGGGTTTAGCAGCTGGACGAAGGAAAGCCGGCTTCACTGTATTCTACTAGACATCACTTTTACAAGCCGAAGGGAAGCACATGGAAAATGTCATCTTGTAATGTATAGAATTCACGAGCTGCTGAAGGGTAATCAAGTAACTAATCAATGCAGCTCCTTGACAATCTCTGGGCTCACACTTTCTGCTAGCCATTTGCAAGGAGACATTCACCACTGGTGAGTGTTGCATGGCCCTCCAGGCTTGCAGCGGCAATGAGCTTTTAGGTCTGGCTAGTAGCAGGGGTCTTGAGTTTATTCCATTTCTGCTTCATATGAATTCTGCACACTGCAAGGCAGTACTTTTTAGGTCTGTGTCAGATGACATTTTGGATTCAAAAACATTGGCAAGATCCACTGGTTGATTAAAACCCCAATTTAAAAAAAAACTGCTTGTGAAAAGTTGGAAAAATAAAACATTTACATTAACAAGAGACCAGATAGTGACAGGAGTTTGTATACATCAGTCCAAGTGACAAATGTGTTGGACCTGTTCAGTGTGATGTACAGGATAGTTATCTCCTTGGTAAATAGCCAATGGTAATACGCAGAACATCCCAGTGTATTGATATCGATAAACACAGGCCTCCACCAGGAGCACTCGGTCTCTCTCTTTGATTGGCCAACACACAGGTAAAGCTGTCCAATCTACTGAACTGCTTAGTTAATAGTATAAGCAGAAATATAATGAACCGCATTAATGTTATGTATTAGAGCCTGCACCAAGGTTACCATGACTTGCACACCGACTTAGGGGTCAACACAAATCAGTTTGTCAGACAGCAATTACAATTAAATAGTTGGAGGGACATTTAACAACAACAAAACATTTCCTGAATGTAGTATATATAACAAAGTGTAGAGTTATTCATGCCTTCAGCCCCCACTAGATTAGAGAACAGATGCTTTATAAAATCATACCACGACTGACACTTGATAAATTTGGCAAGTCACCCATAAAGAAATTCAAGAACTTAATCCTATTAATAACTCATATTACAAAATCAAAATTAGAAGACTTGTACATGTAACAATTAGTGCAAAAATATGATCTTAAAATATGTAGATCATTAAGTAACTTTGTATGGCTATTCAATATATCCTCAGATGGTCCAAATAAACATTTGAAACATATTTTAATTCTACAGCGATTCAATGGTCTTTCTAAAGCCAGTTTTAAATACTATTCCTGACCTTTTGATTAGTATGTAGCTAAATGAATTGAGCTAATATGACGTAAACGTTCAAAGAGCAGTGAGATGTTACAGGACTAGCAGTAGCTGTGCATTAGTTTAGTTTTTCCAGCTAGGACATAGATCAGTGCTTTTAAAACAGAGACATCATCATGGGCAAGGTTCATCCCTTTAACAGCAATTGTTTTCAAGGTAAAATAGTTAAATAACACTATTGTGACTTGCAAAGAGATGAACAAATATTCTTACATCATAGTAACAATGCCTTTCCAAATACAAATAAAAAATAATAATCACGATTTCATGCCTTAGCCCAGTGCAGGCCCAAAATTAAATTATAGCAGTTGGTATAAAACTTCACCATTTTAATGTTAAAATGGACTAAATTAAACTGTGTTTACAGTCAACACGTGGAGTATAGATAAAGAAAAAAAAAAAACAATGAAAATTTCTACAGAAAATAAATTTTTCTGACTTGCTTCAACATAATTTAAAAATAAGTGTGTCACTGCAACATGACGTGACAGCGCTGTCAAAAATCAGGGACATAAATACAAAAATGCCTTTTTGTTCCTCTTGTCTTTCCTTGGCTGCCTGAACTTTATTGAAATACACTTCTCACAGTTCTCTGCAGAGAATTAAAGGGAAATGTAGTACATCAACACTCCAAGGGATGATCTTGTGGATGTCCTGATACACACTTTGTGTATTGCAGGTTATGTGTTTATGACATTCTTCAGGCTCTACATTAAAGGAACACAAATATGTATTTCTGACACTATAGTGTTAAACTATTTATTTAGGTCCCCACTCCCTTTAGAGCTCAGTTAAAAGGCGATTTTACTAATTTGTTCCCACGCCAGTCTCACTCCGCCTCCATGGAGGATATAATCAGTCTTGATAATCTCAGCCAATCCAATGCTATCCCAGAGGAGGCTATTGCGGAGGCACTGAACCCCATAGAGATGCATTGTACATTCAGTGCCTCCATGCAGGGCGTGGAGATGAGTAACGTAGGTCATGCACTCTGTGCAGCACTGGACTAGGAAGCACCTCTAGTGGCCATCTGAGTGACTGCAACTAGATGTGCTACTAGGCAGGTATGTAAACACTGCCTTTTCCTAAAAAGAATGCAGGGACAGGTTACAGAAACCAGAACCACTATACTGGTAGTGGTGCTGGTTTACTTTAGTGTCCCTTTAATACTGTAAGAAGGTGAACACTAGAGTGGCCAGAAGGCAACTTCCCCAGGTCTAATTGACAAAGCATCATGGGAGCAATAGTTCTAGAAGGCTGGAAGCTGCCTTTTGGCCACTGATACGATCATATCAGTCTTGATATAATAATCTAACTTCTTCAGTGATATTTACAATAAATATTCTATAATCGGAAGTGTATGGGTAATAGAAGGAGCAATGCAAAGAACACTGGCGAACTCCCTGGTAAAGGTTAGTGCAATATGGGGCCACGTCTCCCACAATTTCACTGGAACTGAGAACAGAAAGGAAGTGGTTGTGTGAAGCCTTGCCAGGTACACGAAATACAAATTAACAGCTGCAGTGAGATGCTTAAAATAATCTATAAACAGGTCTGCCCCACAGAGATTCAGGCTTAGTAAAGATGTCGATCAGAACACATATCAGTAAATATGCTGTAATGCAAATAAAGGTTTTTGCAAAGCATTAAACAAATAGCTAAGGTGCCGTTTTAAAGCATGACCTCTTTCTGGAGTGTCCCAAATGTAAATCAGAACTGCTAATTATTCAACTGTAGTGCTGTGTCACCAAGGGACTCTAATCACAGTCAGCCAAGGTCTGTTAGCACACACATTACTGGGTTTCTGCTAGAATATACTGTATACAAAATATAGGTCTTATTTACACAGCTCATCAAATGAAATATATCTCCGACAAGGGCATTACCTTACAGTGTGACGAAATGTGCAGTTCAACGTAGTGCTGGTAGCTGTAACCATGTACAATGCCAGACTCCATGTAAAATGCACAGTGCTGGGTTACAGTTAGAAAGCACAATGCATTCTGATTAGATTCTATAGTGCTGGTTCCTCTTAGAAAGCACAATGCAAGATTGCTGTTAGTTTATTCTGTAACATCAGGAAGATTTCGGTTCTGTTGAATATGTTTCAGGGCAATCCATATTGCAAAACAAAAAAACTAAATATAGTAATATAAACTGAGGATGATCTGTGTTGGAGCAGGGATAGCTAATGCCTAGTGCTGTTGATAAGCTTCAATGCCTATGACTTATCACAAGAATATCTAGACTTTAACTTGCCATCATGTGGAGAGGCCATCAAATTTTCACTTTTTTTTTTGTTTAAAGTTTATTACATTTACTGAAAAAAGGTTTTTTGGTTTCTTTTTTATTATCTACCTGAGCAGTTATGTTGGGTCAGATTCTACTATTATCTGAAAAACTGCTGCTCAACCTAAATTGCCGCACGAAGCAATCAAAGCAGATAATATAATCTGACCTAGATGCCTGCTCACACAGAGAAAGTGATTTTTTTTTTTTCCCTAAAAAAACAAACCACTAAGTTTCCTTAAATCGAATAAAGATTTAAAAATAAAAATGAGAAGTGAAAGTATGACAGTTGTCCTTTAAAGGTACACTGTAGGCAGTGTAACTGCTTCATCTCATTGAAGTGATTATAGAATATGAAGCCAAGCACTGTTAATGTTTTACTGCTAAAGAGTTTCCACAGCAATCCTTATCCTTTGTGCTGCATGAGCTAATGAAGAAGCATTAGCCTCAGCAAAAGTGGGCAGCAAAGATTTACTGATCGTGTGAACTGGCCACTTTCAGCCTTTTACAACACCCATTGCTGATCTCTATTTGTATGGGTAGAAGGAAGTATATTCTCTGCATTAGTCACGCCTCCAATAAAGGCGGGGCTGTGAGAGGCCAAGGACTCATTTAGTGTAAAACTATTTGAAAATAGTTTAATACTGAAAGGACAGTGCCAAAGTATCCAGGCACTATAACCAAGTCAATGAGATGAAATATTTACAGACAAAATGATGCGGCACAACCTCTAACAGAGGTTTAAAAAGCAAATAATATCCATTCACATGGCATAGCCAAACTGGCTTCCAATGGCTAAGAAAATGATCACTCCCTGTATCTAGACACTCTGGGTAATACTCGGTGACCCACCTGGCTGCGCTGGCATTCTGCTTTCTCAGTAGTATGTGTTCAGATAACCGGTACCATAAAATTATATATAAACATACACAAAACAACACAAACCATCAACTAGATAAACTTCCTCAACTATATATCCTGGCTTGTGGTGCAAAATTGTCATGCTCCATTGTTGGGTCTGCATCCGTAAGTCACCCACAGCCTCTCTGAGAGAAGAAAGTACTTAAATGGCATCGTGGAGGGTCAGATTTTGTATAAAAAGCTAGGGATATAGTCGAACCTGAGAACAGGGAGGAGTTGCGTTCCTGAGGATCTCAGATAATGCATTTTGAGAAGCTCGGATAGGTATTCCACTATCCTACTGTCCTCCTGGGAGAGGCCAAGCAGCTGGTGTAGAAAGACAGCCCTCCGCTGAGCAATAGACTCTTCGCTCTCTTTCTCATGGATTGCGAGATGAGCGTGAGGGCAGAATGTGAACAGGAAAGCCTTGGAGCTCAGCTGTGTTAGCATACATTGCACGTGCATGTAGTATGTGCTGCCCTTTCTGATTTGTGTGCGATGGTCAGCCATTCTTTGAAGGAGGGTACCCTTATACACAGGACAGCGGAGTGTTTTGTTGTCTGCATCCAGGACACTGGCATATCGGCTATACCGGTTCAGGGAGTGCATGATGTGAGACCCGGATGGAGAGGCTTCTCTATAGCACAAAAACATTAGAAGCAATACAATTAAATATATATTATTTGAACAAGGAGAAAATCTAAAACAAAACAATACAGTGATGAGCAAATTTACAGAAAAATTAGTCCTTGAGCAGGCACTCAGCCAAACAATGCCAGGGTATTCTTGAAAACGAGAGAAATCTCAATGTATCCATCCTGGTAAAATGTTTTATAAATAAATACATTTGTGGATGCAACTGATATTATGAATGCAGATTTCTCCAACCCTTTGTGTGAAATAGAATAATGCCCTATTTTCATAATTCTACATGCCACCCCAAAATAAACGTTCAAACAGTGTTATAAAAGACGCTTTGCTTAACTCAATCCAGCACCAGGCAAATCTCCCCGATGGAAGCTCAGGGCTAAGTCACATGTGCCGAGGGCGCAACTTGCACCCGACACAAAATTGAAAATATATCTAAATGTGCATGGTTTCAAGTATTTCCAGACTCCTACCACCGTGATCACTTCAAAAAATAGAAGTGGCCATGGTGGTTGGAATAACCCTTTAGAGTGAACCAGTCATGAAAAGTACACTTTAACAAATAACAGCTCTAAAAGCAATAAATAGATCATTTATCACAAAACAAATAATAAATTGGCAGGAGTGTCCAGGCACAGTCATACCTTCATAGGGTTAAACTGTTTAACCATTAAATTGGGGGTGCTCTAAGTCTATTACCGGGAACGCAGCTAAACTTCAGCCCTACTGCATAAGAGAAGGGAAGTTGGGGGATCATCTGTGTCAGCACTAGAGCCCCAGATTTGGGAATACACCTTTGAAAAACAGTTTAACCACTGAATGTAAGACGGTGCTTGGGCACTACTACTTGTTTCATAACAATTTATATGAACTGAAGTTGTTTTGGGTGTGGGAGTGTTCCTTTAAATTTAAATACAGATATCTTAAAACAAAAATCACTTGTGTACAAATATTAACCTCTTAAGGACAGCGGGCGTTCTATGGCGTCCTTTTTTGGGCAGTCCTAAACGCTGTAGGGTGGCACAGAACGTCTTCGCCGTCCAGGGGACTTACCGGGTCCCCGCCGATCCCATGTCGGAAGTTGCGATCCGGGGGGGCTGCCTGGGAGCCCAAGCAGCCCCCGATCCGGACCTCGAGGGCCATGTGATTAAGGGGTCCTTGTAATCACATGGCCGGAATAGCTGGCTCATACAATGCCAGCAGGGGGACTGCCTGAGCTCTCAGGCTGTCCCACTGCTGCCTGTAAAAAAGTTTTCATCGTTAGTAAAATAAAAAAATAAAAAAAGGTTTAATACAGTAAATGACTTAGATCATATATATATATATATATAATCTAAGTACTTTTATATGCACATACACACACTATTAATCTAAGTGTACTGTAATATTAAATATTAAAATACACTTAATGACTATATATATATATATATATATATAAATAAATAAAATTAAAAAATTAAAAAATAATTGATGAAATAAAATTGAAAAAAAGTTATATACCTGTATACTTTCACTCCAACTGTATTTTGATATAAATATACATCTATATGTAATATATATATATATATATATATATATATATATATATATATATATATATATATATATATATATATATATATATAAAAATTCTAATATATATTTATTAATATTTTTACATGATTAAGGTCATTTCATTAATTACTATTTGAGGGACTTGCCTGACAACCAGGCAGAAAGTCTAGAGAATATGGTACGCAAGCCCTATATTTAACCCTGTAACTTTCCAAGACACCATAAAAACAGTACATAGCGGGGTACTGTTTTACTCAGGAGACTTCGCTGATCACAAATAATAGTGTTTCAAAACCATTAAAAAAAAAAAAAAAATATATATATATATATATATATATATATATATATATATATATATATCACACAACAATGATTGTCTGTGAAAGAGCAGTTTTTTTTGCATTTTTCACACACAAACGGCATTTACACTGATGATATTATTGTTGTGATAAGTTGTAATGTTTGGAAACTCTAATATTTGTGTTCAGCGAAGACTCTCGAGTATAACAGTACCCACCATGTACACGTTTTATGGTGTTTTCAAAAGTTACAGAATTTTCATATTAAAATTCACCAGATTGGTTATGATGCCTTTGAGACCATATGGTAGCCCAGGAATGAGAATTACCCCCATGATGGCATACCATTTGCAAAAGCAGACAACCCAAGGTATTGCAAATGGGGTATGTTCAGTCTTTTTTAGTAGCCACTAGTCACCAACAGTGGCCAAAATTAGCGTCCAAATCTGTTTTTTGCATTTTCCCCTCACACATACAAATTAGAATGCTAACTTTGGCCTCATTCCTAGGCTACCATACGGTCTCAAAGGCAACGTAAACAATCTGGCGAATTTCAATGTGTGTAAACTAAAAAAATTTAATGTGGTAAATTAAGTACTAAAAACTGTACTTGGGGGGTGCTATTTTACTTGTGAGACTTGACTGAATACAAATATGTGCATTTTCACATTGTATTCATATTAAATTATGTTTAATATATAAATATTGATTTGACATGAAAGTCCTGTTTCTCCTGAACAAAATGATATATAATAAGTGTGGTTGCATTTAAAGGGAAACTCCAGTGCCAGGACCCCGCTGATGTCCCTCGGCAGTGGTTTCTGCTCGCCGCCACTCCTCCCAGTGATTATGTAGGCCGGTGGATGAGACTGATCCTGCCAACCAGCCGGGGAGACCTAATGCGCATGCGCATTAGAGCTCGCCATAGGAAAGCACTGAAAATGCTTTCCTATGGGGAACTGAGCTACGCTGGAGGTGCTATAGAGCAGGAAGTGCCCTCTAGTGGCTGTCTAGTAGACAGCCACTAGAGGTGGAGTTAACCGTGCAAGGTAATTATTGCAGTTTATAAAAAACTGCAATAATTACACTTGCAGGGTTAAGGGTAGTGGGAGTTGGCACCCAGGCTACTCCAATGGGCAGAAGTGGTCTGGGTGCCTGGAGTGTCCCTTTAATATGAAAGAGGTGAATTTTGCCTGAACAGACATCCAGCGCAAATTCAAGGTTTTGTTTACGTTTTGATCACAACTTGTACAACTGTCTCAGTCCTCAAGGGGTTAATGAGAGAGAACACAGAGAGAATATACAATAGTGTAATATGTTTAACAATATTGAAAAAAGGTGATAAAGAAAACGGAGGTATTTTAGACTCACATTTGGTAGAGCTATTATGGGAGCTCTACCGTAATTTGCATGGACGGTATAATCCCCGTTTTAGGATTAGAGGTCCAACGTCTTTGGCACTCCGATGGTGTAGTGGTGCAGATAAAAATGGAAAAGAAGAAACTCCAATGGTATAGTAGTTCCAGCTCCAAGTATAAATTAATAAATGAAAGTAATTATACTCACATTTGCTAGAGCAGACAACTTGCTCTAGTATATAGGGCTTGCAGTGGTATAATCCCCACTGTAGGATATGTAGGCCAGGAAGTTGATGATGAAAATAAATTGTATAGTAAAATAGGGTATCACTTTAAAAGATATATTTAGTGATAACACAAGTAAAATAAAATGCTATATAAAATAACACTTATATAGCATTTTATTTTACTTGTGTTATCACTAAATATATCTTTTAAAGTGATACCCTATTTTACTATACAATTTATTTTCATCATCAACTTCCTGGCCTACATATCCTACAGTGGGGATTATACCACTGCAAGCCCTATATACTAGAGCAAGTTGTCTGCTCTAGCAAATGTGAGTATAATTACTTTCATTTATTAATTTATACTTGGAGCTGGAACTACTATACCATTGGAGTTTCTTCTTTTCCATTTTTATCTGCACCACTACACCATCGGAGTGCCAAAGACGTTGGACCTCTAATCCTAAAACGGGGATTATACCGTCCATGCAAATTACGGTAGAGCTCCCATAATAGCTCTACCAAATGTGAGTCTAAAATACCTCCATTTATCACCTTTTTTCAATATTGTTAAACATATTACACTATTGTATATTCTCTTTGTGTTCTCTCTTTGAGGATAAATTATCCACAACTACTAAGAAACATCAAGTGTATGTATATACAACTTATGCAAGGCGCGGTTTCCTCCTTTTTCTTCTATACTGTTTCTTTACAAGGCTGGGAATCCTTGTATCGGTTACTGCTGCCTATTGACTTTCTGTTTTGGAGTGACCACCTGACACATCCCCCCTTTTCTCAAGGGGTTAATAACTTGGGTGTTGCTGATCACTCAGGAAGTTATAACTATTTATATGGGTGTGATTCTCAACACATGTGCTTATTAAATTGCGATAGGAAAAATCTCTTCACAACTAATGCCAAATTCCTGTTCCCTTTTAGTGTATATGACTCATTTGGAGAAAGGAACTAGTTTGAGGGCCATGCAAGCAGTTTATGCAGAAAACTTCAGCGCTTTTAACTTTACACTAAATACTGTACCTTTGAAGTCCAATCAGTTTCCACTTCTGAAAATCTGTGATGTGCAGAGGGGTAGTGACCCAGGGCTTTATAGGTTTGGCAGCAAGTCCACAGCTGGGGACAAATATAGACAGGGCAGTCACAAGTCTTTTAACAAAGGCCTCCTCTTCTCCCAATACTATTAGCGTTCTCCCACTCAAAAGTGAATAAATGGCAGGATGGGAGAAGGGGTACTGTCTGATAAACCTTAATGCATTATGACCAGCTTTCCTTCTGTGACGTTCAGTGGCACCTACAACAGGAGGAGGAGAAGGTGTCCTATCAGAACAAGTAGAAGCACTGCTCTTGTGACTCAATGAGTCGGAGTATTCAAGAGTCAGTTGTTTAGCTTCCCTACTGCTTAATAAATGGCTGGACTCTGGTTCATGATAGGAAAGCACTGGGCAGGCAGGTTCATCAGAAAGATTCTCATCCTTGTCCACAAAGAGTTTCACTTGAAATGTCGGGTCTGAGAATCTGTATGGTTGAGGTGGAACACGAATGACAGTGTCTCCCCCAGCAGGGTCTGGATCTAGGTCTCCATTATGCTGCACAGTGCTTAAATTATCTGCAACAATGCAGCAAGCAGGATCTTCTTGCAATTCATTGACAGGCGTTTCAGATTTTTCATTAGCACCAGCACTGCATGGAGGCTCTCCACTTTCCTCATCTAAACATGGTTCTTCTTCGTTAATGGCGATTTGGTAAGCTGCCCTAAAATCTTCAGGTATTACAGTTTCTGATGTGCATGTGCTAAGTACTTCAATACTGTCCTCACTAATAGTTCTCTTGCCAGCTGCCCTCCTCCGAGGTGGCTGTGGACTTGGATGAAGCCGCATGCATGGTTGACTCTCTGAATGTGTAAGCACTGAAGTAGATCTCTCTGTTCTCAGCACTTCAATGCTGTCACCGCTACTTACGCTCCCTTTGATATCCACATCAAGATATTCAGTAACTTCTGCATTATCACCACTGCCCAACTCCAACTGCTCTGTACAACAATTTTCATTAAACAAGTCCTGTTCAATTTTTATAGGGACTGACTCTACACTTGACTTGTAGGATTCCAAACTCGCTGAAGGTTTAAGAGACTCTGGCTCCTCCAAACATTTGGAATTGTGCAAATTTTGAGAAACTTCCAGTTTATCCTCGTAACGCTTATCAGGCACATTTGGACTCCAAGTGGACACATCTTCAAACAAGAAGTTTGAAATTTGTTGCTGCGCCAACAGGGTATTATCAAGGTGACGCATTAAAAGGTAGCTTATATCACCTCTATACCGTTTTTCTAACCTTGTGAGCAAATCTATTGTTTGTGTAAAGAAGTATACATCAACAAGTTCCTCTAAAGTTTTCAATTTTTTAGCAAAACTTTTGGCAGATTTTGCCATTATGAATTTTGGCGTGTATGCTAATCTAGTAGGATAGGCATTTGCCTCCTCTTCTGGAGGGTTTTCCTCTGTGTCAGAAAAAGTGACAGTCTGTTCAGAATCACTAGTCAGAGTGTCATTGGGCACACGTTCTGGAGAATACGGTTGAAAATCTTCATTGGGTTTCAACTTTCTATACGGATACAACTGTATCTGTTTCAAAAGGTCCTGGTGTTCAATAATCGATTTCTCCACATTGGCAAGTTCGTTGGCCTTGTCAATGGCCTGTGTCGTGTAAAATCCCTTGTCATCCGTCTTCCTCTGCTCTTCCAAGTGGGCCAGCAATATAGACCGGGTGTAATCCAAATCTTTAAGCTTCTTTTCCAGTTCGTTGGCGAACGCCTTTCTGTTACCAGTCTTAAGACAATCCGAGGCCTTGGAGAAGTCATTGGAGAGATCCAAAAACAGTTGCATGATCTTCTCCTCATCTGCGGAGATATAGGCCATGCAGAAGGGTCGCACGAAACCCCGCGCCTCCAAGTCATACAGTGTCAGGTGATGGACGTAAGCGAATGCCCCTTCCTTGGAGTCCCCCAGGACCACCTTGGAGTCCTCCACGAAGTTGAGTTTTGGGTAGGAGGATCCAGGTGGGTGCCCAACAAAGGAGGCTTGGTAGTCCACAGACATGATGCGCAGGGAGAAATAGTTGAGGTCAAAGACCCCTCGGACGCTCTGGTCCTCAGGGATGGTGAGCAGGGGCTGGGGCCCCACCTGCTCGGAGAATTCAGAGATGAGGATAAAGTCCCTGGTGAATTTGGCCCCTGAGAGCCTGGACCAGGGGCTGCTATCCGGGTCAGGGAAGGGGAATAGGGGCACTGTGTACTCCTCGGGGAGCCCAGGGGGGCTCTGCAGCTGTTCCTCATACTCCTCCTCCCTCGTGAAGGCCACCAGGTCCGGGGACCCAATCATCTTCCCGACACAGCTCCCTCAGCGAGCTCCACACACAAACACCTCACAGGGGAGACGCCATCTTGGATGGTGGGACACGTGATCCAGCAGTGACGTCACGACCCATGACACGACCAACCAATAAATAACGAAATTTACAGTAAAACCCCCCAGAATCATCAAGACAATAGCTTTAATGGCTGCATAGCTATGGATTCGTCTGATTTTGCCACCTGCGGCTGTTACAGGGCGAGTAATGCGGAGCAGAGCATGCCGGGAGCTGTAGTCCCTGAGGGAGACTCTTAGTTATCACGTGACACCGGGAGGGTTTCTGCGGCTGCAGGAGGTGACAGAGTACGGAATGCGGAGAGGGTCAAAGCGCGAAGCAGCTCAAAACAAACAGCGCGGGAAGTAGGAGATACTCAATACTACTGTAGGAAAATATGTCACCTTGGTAAATATCAGAACTGCTGGGAGCCCAGACCGGACAGGTGAATTCCTCATTGGGGTTTAATGACATGTTTCATTGGAGGCAGGAACAGGACTGGCCAGAATTATCCACCAAACTGGGAATTATCAGACATTGCACTAACAGGGCTATCCACCAAACTGGGAATTATCAGACATTGTACTAACAGGGCTATCCACCAAACTGGGAATTATCAGACATTGTGCTAACAGGGCTATCCACCAAACTGGGAATTCTCAGACATTGTACTAACAGGGCTATCCACCAAACTGGGAATTCTCAGACATTGCACTAACAGGGCTATCCACCAAACTGGGAATTATCAGACATTGTACTAACAGGGCTATCCACCAAACTGGGAATTATCAGACATTGTACTAACAGGGCTATCCAACAAACTGGGAATTATCAGACATTGTACTAACAGGGCTATCCACCAAACTGGGAATTATCAGACATTGTACTAACAGGGCTATCCACCAAACTGGGAATTATCAGACATTGTACTAACAGGGCTATCCACCAAACTGGGAATTATCAGACATTGTACTAACAGGGCTATCCACCAAACTGGGAATTATCAGACATTGTACTAACAGGGCTATCCACCAAACTGGGAATTATCAGACATTGTACTAACAGGGCTATCCACCAAACTGGGAATTATCAGACATTGTACTAACAGGGCTATCCACCAAACTGGGAATTATCAGACATTGTACTAACAGGGCTATCCACCAAACTGGGAATTATCAGACATTGTACTAACAGGGCTATCCACCAAACTGGGAATTATCAGACATTGTACTAACAGGGCTATCCACCAAACTGGGAATTATCAGACATTGTACTAACAGGGCTATCCACCAAACTGGGAATTATCAGACATTGTACTAACAGGGCTATCCACCAAACTGGGAATTATCAGACATTGTACTAACAGGGATATCCACCGAACTGGGAATTATCAGACATTATACTAACAGGGCTTTCCACCGAACTGGGAATTATCAGACATTGTACTAACAGGGCTATCCACCAAACTGGGAATTATCAGACATTGTACTAACAGGGCTATCCACCACACTGGGAATTATCAGACATTGTACTAAAAAAGGGCTATCCACCAAACTGGGAATTATCAGACATTGTACTAAAAAAGGGCTATCCACCAAACTGGGAATTATCAGACATTGTACTAACGGGGCTATCCACCAAACTGGGAATTATCAGACATTGTACTAACAGGGCTATCCACCAAACTGGGAATTATCAGACATTCAAACTAAATTCAGCTTCTGTTTTCCGTTTGGCTAGTGTAGCCTAGAAACTGAACGTTACTATAAATTATCAACAATTTGCTCTTTAGTGGATAGACTGTGTAACTCCCATTAATACTATTGAAGGTGTTACCCTTGCATGACATCTAAGATATACTCCTGTATACCTGGTTTAATATATCTGAGTCCCTCAGAGAACGGGGGCCCTAGGCATGGTATCGCTTTGGGGCCCCCAATTCATTCTCGCATAGGGATAGTGTATATGGGACCAAGCAAATATATGGGTCTGGACCCTGGGCAGCTGCATAAGGTCACCTTATTGTTAATTTGTTACCCCTGTCCTGGAGTCCATGGGTATGATTGTTTAATATACATGGGTCTGACTGTTTCTAATATGTTTTTTTTATTTATTTTTAAAATCACTTTAAATGTAGCATACTGTGTTGTCACATGCCTCAAGTTTCAGTGATATTTCAGTTGATTGAAGGAACCATGAATGCCAACAGGTACTGTGACATACTGAAGCAGAACATGATCCCCTCACCTCGGAGACTGGGCCGCAGGGCAGTATTCCAACATGATAACGACCCCAAGCACACCTCCAAGACGACCACTGCCTTGCTAAAGAAGCTGAAGTTAAAGGTGATGGACTGGCCAAGCATGTCTCCAGACCTAAACCCTATTGAGCATCTGTGGGGCATCCTCAAACGGAAGGTGGGGGAGCGCAAGTTTTCCATTGTTATACAGGCTGTACACTTACTACTTTTTCATTGTAGCAGAGTGTTTGGGTCTGTTATCATGTTGGAATACTGCCCTGCTGCTCAGTCTCTGAAGTGAGGGGATCATATTCAGTTCTTCAGTATGTCACAGTACATGTTGGCATAAATGGTTCCCTCAATGAACTGTAGCTCCCCAGTGCCAACAGCACTCATGCAGGCCCAGACCGTGACACTCCCACCACCTTGCTTGACTGTAGGCAAGACACTTGTCTTTGTACTCCTCACCTGGTTGCCATCACACACGCTTGACACCATCTGAACCAAATACGTTTATCTTGGTCTCATCGGACCACAGGACATGGTTCCAATAATCCATGTCCTTGGTCTGCTTGTCTTCAGCAAACTGTTTGGGGGCATTCTTGTGGATCATCTTTAGGAGAGGTTTCCTTCTGGCACATCAGCCATGCAGACCAATTTGATGCAGTGTGCGGTGTATGGTCTGTGCACTGACAAGCTGACCCCCCCCATCCCATCAACCTCTGCAGCATTGTTGGCAGCACTCATAAATCTACTTCCCAAAGACAACCTCTGGATATGATGCTGAGCATGTGCACTCAACTTACTACTTTACATTGTAACAGAATGTCATTTCTTCAGTGTTGGCATATGAAAAGATATAATAAAATATTTACAAAAATGTGAGGGTGTACTGACTTTTGTGAGATATTGTAGGTAATCATGATAAAAAAATAAAATATTCCATAGTTAACAGGTTATAGCACAATGGGCATGTTTAGCCTTTTGTTTATTGTTTATGTTTATCTGTAATGGTCATGGTGTGTTTATAATACCTCTCCAAATAAACAAAATAAAGAGTAATACAAATATTGCATGTATCAATGTGTTTAGTGACTACTTTTATATTTCTCTTTTAATCACAGGGTGATTTTCCTGTGGATCCACAGAACAGTATGAGGCTCCCATAGACATGTTGTTCACAGGCGTGGGGAAAGTTTCTGGACTCCGGTGATGCTTTTTCTGGCTAGAGGATTTTCATTTAGTACGCTCAGGTTTGCTACTCAACCTTGGATTCGTTTCTGCTCTCGGGCATCTGCCAAGATGATGTCGTCGAGGGGCTTGATCCAGAAAGTTTTGTGCGTTGCAGAAAAGAATGATGCAGCCAAGAGTGTTGCAGATCTCATGTCTAACAGTAGAATGAGAAGGGTAAGACACACACGCAGCAGTGGGCAATGTGGAATAATGTGTTGTCCTTTTATTGTAAATCTTTGTTACTAAATGGGCTTGCCACACTGATTGAGCCTTTAACGTGTACAACTTGGTCTTAAAGGGACACTCCAAGCACCATAGCCACGGCAGATTATTGTATTATAACAGCTTGTTGTAATTATGTTCTGTACTGGTGTTATTTTACTTACACAATAAAAGCACATATATGTCTAATAATACATAGGCATATATAACTCCATTTTATATAAGGAAGAACAGCCTAAAGTGACAATGTAGGCACCCAGACCTCTTCAGCTCAATGAAGTGATCTGTGTACTGGCTCCCTGTTGCCCTTAGTGCTGCAATGTAAAACATTGTGATTCCAGAGATCTGCAATTCTAAGTCTGGCGTCAGTGGCTGTCTACCAGGGAGGGACATCTGCGCTGGATTCAGGTAAGTGTTCTGACAAGATGATGGAATAAAGATTCAGATTTCGTTCTAATGGGGTTTGAATTCTTTCAGCGCTAGAAAGGTGTACAAAGCATTGATTTATGTTACACAAATACACACAAAAGGGTTAATTGGTGTTTGGGGGGAAAAGTAATGTTTCTTTCTTTCTTTTATCTTTTTTCCTTTTCCCTTCCCATTTCAGAGAGAAGGATTTTCCAAGTTTAATAAGATCTATGAATATGAGTATCATTTATTTGGAAAGGTAAAACGATTGTAATGATCAATAAACCTGTTCTAAATGTGCTTGCAGGTTGTGGCGGGCTGTTAATTTCTAATAATGATGCCAAGTTAACATTAATATTTACATTTTGTACTGTTCTGCAGGATGTAAGTGTTGTGATGACCTCTGTGTCGGGACATTTATTGGCGCTGGAATTTCAGAGTCACTTGAAAAAATGGTTGGTATGGACAGATTATCAAAATATAACTGCTTATTGCGTTTCCTGAGAAAGACCTGGCCATTCTTACCCCTCATTTCTAAGTTATTATCAAATTTAAATGACATCCAGAATCCTGGGGTTTTTGAATGTTCTGGAAAATAATGTATAACAAATTTATTTTTATTTTTTTATGTCAGTATCTTGAGATCTCAAATTATGACAAAATGAATATCTTTGTTGAGCTTTGTCAAACAGAGAGTGGGAAACCTTCAAGCTACAGAACAACAAATCGCAGTGCAATATCAATATTGTTCTTTGCAATATATTAAAATGTTGAGAAACATAAATACAAGTAGTTGGACTATTAATACATATCTTATAGTTTTCTTTTATAAAACCGTTTTTCACCAAACGTGTATTATTTATGTTGCGCACAAAGTAGGTAGATAGTTCACTTAAAAATTTGTTATTGAAATAATGCATTATAGAATCTATAAATTAATACAAACCCCTTAGCCTGAAAGGTCAGTGGCTGCTGAATACACATAGTACATACAAATGTCTACAGAGACTATAAAAACGAGTACTTTTTCTAAGTGCATTTTCTCACATTGGATAGCATATAAGAACAAGTCTTAGCTGGGTGTTTACCCCTGCAATAGTGTGCTTAAAGGGGCACTCCAAACACACAAAGCACTTTCCACCCCTTGCTTTATGTGTAAAGAGTGTGTCCTTTTAATTTTACAAAAAAGGTAGATTTTTATTTTTGCATGTTTACAAATGTCTTATAAATGTAGGTTGCCTCTAAAAATCCACTGATGGCTTAATCACTAAGCAGTGAATTTAAAATCAAATTGCCCATGTTAGACTTACATATGCAGACCTGACTGTGGCTACAGCTATGTTTGGGGGGGGGGGGTTGTTTTGTGTTTTTTATATCCTTTAGTTTGGTCTTAATTTAAAGATCCATTTCCCTGTGTGGTGAATACAGCAAATTGGGTACATGTCCTATAGCTTTAAATACGTCTCTTGGGTTTAGGCACAGCTGTAACCCGGTGTCCCTGTTTGATGCAGAAGTTGAGAAGTATTGCCCAGAGGATTATGTCAACATAAAGGTATGTTTTATGTTTGAAATTGCAGAGCAAGGAGCTGTTTAGGATTTAGTTCCATTTTCCATAGTTTGATTGTGTAAAAGAGTTTTGGGATTTTCTTCTTGGTTGTTAAATAAAAAAGTGTATTTAAAGGAAATTTTAAACTTGGGCCAAATGACTATATTGCTAGTTTTCAGGGTTAATCATTAAAGGCCGAGCTTGAGTCTGTTTAAAACCTACAGCAATCTGATATAGTACAGAGCGCTCTGCAGACACTGGTTGGTGGAATTCTGGAGAATGTAGGAGACAACAGCATTATTGCTCATGTTGAGTGCCCGGCTATGAAAGAATATGTGTATTTTGGGGTGTCTGGTCTATAATTGTATGTCTGTGATTTTAGAGGACTTTGGAGAGGGAGGTGCGGCAGTGCCAGGCGCTGATTATCTGGACTGACTGTGATCGAGAGGGTGAAAATATCGGCTTTGAGATCATCGATGTTTGTAAAGCAGGTATGCAGCCACATGTGTAAGGCCAAAAGTATCCATAATGACACGTTACTGCTTTGCTCAGTTTCCACACTTCTCCCTTAGTTATGTGGGCATCTGCATTTATTCAAAACCATTTCTACCACCAATGCTCTTTACACCTGCCTTCCCTTATTGTTCCAGTGAAATCGAGCCTGCAGGTTTTTAGGGCTCGTTTTTCAGAGATAACCCCACGCTCTATCCGTATGGCTTGTGAGAACCTGACACAACCCGACCAGAACATCAGCGACGCTGTCGATGTGAGAATGGAGCTTGATCTGCGAATAGGTGGGTGAACACCGAACATGGATATTTTTATTGTTGATTTTCTCTGCATCCAGTCTTCACAGCACAAAACAGTGCTGCTAATTCCAGAATCTCTCAATGAATCAGTCTGCTTCCTGGCACACACATCCATACAGAAGGCATCGCTGTCCTCTCGTACCTGTAGAATTATTCTAGAAGCTCAATATGTCTCTCGTGTAAAACGTGCCCATTGTGTCACACTTAGGTGCTGCCTTCACTAGGTTTCAGACTCTACGTCTTCAGAAAATCTTCCCATCTGTGTTGTCCAACCAGCTGATCAGCTATGGCAGCTGCCAGTTCCCTACTTTAGGATTTGTGGTTGAGAGATTCAAAGCCATTCAAGCCTTTGTTCCAGAGACTTTCTACAAAATCAAAGGTACTTTTGTAAAAGTGACATACCCCATGATACTTAAACAGCTGGAGCTGCCCTCTGTGCATTGTTTTGATTCATACATTTTTAAACTTGATATTGTAGCAACAAGTAAAACAAATCATGTTTTAAGAGCATACACACAAACAGATAAAACATATCTTTTTCTCATATACAACACAGGAAAGTCTATTAGGCAGCATAATAAAAATGGGCATTATGTCATGTAGGACAGAATGTGAGGGCTTTACTTTATTAGTGATGGTATCACTTTCTCAAATAGCAAGGTTCTTCCACATTTACAGTAAGGGATGGCTTTGTGCACAGCTGCTATTTACCAGAAAGGATACTTTTAGATTTCTTTTGGTTGTCCTGGAATTTTTCTCCTCAGTATTTCAAATTGTTTTCTTTAAGTTGGATTTTGTGAGTTCACACATCCGTGGCATGCTTTGGAATTCTCCACATGGTACCCACTTTGAATTAGGTAGAGTGCTGTGTTGGCAAATGTGTGTTTGCCTTAGAATGATGCTCACGGTCTGTTTAATTTGGATCATCCGATTCTGTTTTTTATATATGTATATATACTTAATAAATATACTTAATGTTATTTGCTTGTCTCTTAGTAACTCATGAACACGAAGATGGAACTGTGGACTTCAACTGGAAACGTAACCGTCTCTTTAACCACACCGCCTGCCTGGTTTTGTACCAGATCTGCATGGAGGTTATTATCACACAACACGACCAAACATGTATTGATTCTTACTGTTACATAGCAACGGTTTATTCAGCAGCTGTACACAGTGGGAATATAAACCTGGGTATCTCACGACTACCTGTAGGGTTTCTTGTCAGTCTTGTCAGAAAATTGTATAACATATGCAACTGTTAGAACTCCCCAAAATGTTCTATAGTGTTCCCTTTAGGTGTGATCACAAGATATTCCTATGTACACTTTTTTCATTTATGTAGTTTGACCTTTTTTTTTTTTCTTTTTTTTTTCTTTTTTTCACCCAGGATGTGCTAATATGTTGTTCTGTTTGTAGGATCCAATCGCAACGGTTGTTGAAGTGGGAAGCAAGCCTAAAAGCAAATGGAGACCCGTGGCTCTTGATACCGTGGTACGTACTGTAAATTCTGGCCATTTTACTGAGCTATCTAGTCTATGGAATGTCCGCTGCTCGAACATGCTAAACTGGGTGAGCATCATGGGTAATGTAGTCCATAACAGCTACAGTACCAAATGCTGGCCACCACGGCATTGATTGCTTGTTTTTATGTAGTATACACTGTATAACAGTCATATCTTCAAAATGGTAGTGAAAGCGGACATTTGGTTCGTGGGCACAATTCCTTTCCCAGGTTGATCTATTCTTCATCATCACCCTCCCACACACATCTCCTTTTTTCTTTTGTCTATGCAGGAGCTGGAAAAACTGGCTTCTCGCAAACTGAAAATTGGCGCCAAGGAAACGATGAAAATTGCTGAGAAGTTGTATACCCAAGGGTAATTCAGTGTGGTTTTATGGGCATAGTGTTTGTATTATGTTTTAGTGTAATTGGAGGTTTGGTCAATAAATTGTAAGTTGGTGATCATTATGTTTAATGTTGAAAATGTAGGCTAAAGTCAACAAGCTATAGAATATCTCAAACTCGACTATGTGTCCATTTTAGTTATTTTGGCATTTTGTTATCAGTGCCCCATTAATTAGATATACTTATTGTGATTAATATCAACTAATTTATGGAAGCACATTAACAATGGGACAGAGCAGCGGAAAAGAAATTGAATAGATTCACTCATTGTGCGAAGCCATACGCATATGCTGGATTCCAAGAACGAAGGAGACATGTGGTTGGCACTTGGTGAGATGGGGGATCTGAAATGCATTCTTCTGGACAGAGGGATGTAGAGGGGGTAGCATGATACAATTTTGAAAGTTTAAATCAATATTTGTAGGAGAGTGTGATAAACCAGGGATTTCAGGCCTAGATCAGCCCAAATATTAAATGTTACTTTTAACCAGCTTGAATAATGCACTGCACAATTTATTTTATTTTCTAGGTACATCAGTTACCCCCGCACTGAGACCAATATTTTCCCCAAAGATTTAAACTTGACATCATTGGTTGAGCAACAAACGCAAGACCCTCACTGGGGTAACTTTGCACAGCGGATTTTGGAAAGGGGTGGGCCAACCCCTCGAAATGGCTCCAAATCAGATCAGGCCCACCCTCCCATTCACCCCACTAAATATGCCGGCAACTTGCAGGTGTGTGTCTTGTAAACATGATCAATCACTCTGTCATTTTCTGAATATGATCTAATCTCTAAGCTGGAAATTACAGAGACTTGATACGGGAATTCCAGATTGTAGGAAAGAACAGCTGAACTGGAAATCTAGAGAGATTATATTTTTCTTAATTTGACTATTTTAGCCTATAATGTAGGACACCATTCACTCCCTATAATATCGGAGATGCAGTTTATAGTGTGGTTACATTGTTAGCATGTAGCTGCTCATTACAGAAGTTAGAAAAAGCTAGTACTTTCACAAGGTAAAAGAAAACTGGACTTTGCAAGTTATAGAGTCCTCTCTCCTCATACTAACCTGATTTACCACCTTAACAACCAGGTTTAGGGAAATCCCTTTATGTGATGTCATTCATGGCATTCCATTTATTACATTGTGGAGTTAATAATTTCATTACATTGAGAAATTAAAGGACTACTTCAGCTCAATGAAGTGGTCTGAGTGCCAGGCCCCCCTAGTTCTAACCCTGCAGCTGAAAACATAGCAGTTTAAGAGAAACTGCTAGTTTACATTGCAAGGTTAATCCAGCCTCTAGTGAGAAAATCGCACTGAAATGACGCTGGACGTCCTCACGGAGTCCAGCGTAATTTCAGATCCCCATAGGAAAGCATTGAGTAATGCTTTCCTATGGGCGGGTTTGAAAGCGCGCCTCTGGCCTCGCATACGCATTTGGAGTGGACGTCAGCAAGGGGAGGAGAGATCACCAGCACTGAGGGAGCCCAGCACTGGATTAAGGTAAGTGGCTGGCTGGGGGGGAGGGAGGGTATAAACCCTATAGTCCCAGGAAAATGGGCTTGTTTTCCTGGCACTATAGGATCCCTTTAATAAATTCATTACATTGAGGAGTTAATGAAGAAGCAGGCTGTGACTATATTTGGAGACCATTTCAAACACTCTTCAAGGCTAATCTAGAGCTCCTAGCCTTGCTATGACTAACCTTAGCAGCCGTATATCTTTGGGAATTCTAGAAATTCCATGGTACTCAGCCAGTGTTAAGGCTTGTCAGGCATCATGGGAAATCTATACAGTTAGATGCCTTTGTTCACATACAGTAGGTTCTGAACGCAGTCACACAGGATGTTAGAAAGTCACTGGCTGTGAATTGGCTGATCAGAGTCTTTTGATGATGGGTTCCGGATTAATGTTTTTCTCTTTAAAAATGTGTTTTCAAATTACTACTTCTCTTTAAGTTTTTTTTTTTTTTTTGGTCATATTTAAAGATTAATGCATCTGTTTTTGTTTCTGTTTACGATTGGAAAAGTTGGAATTAGTTCAAATCAGACCTAATTTAATCTCTACTCTCCCATGTTCAGGGCAATGAGCAGCGCATCTATGAATTTATTGTCCGTCATTTCTTGGCCTGTTGCTCCCAGGATGCTCAGGGGCAGGAAACCAGTGTGGAGATTGAAATTGCTGCTGAGCGGTTTGTGGCTCATGGGCTGATGATCATCGCCAGAAACTATCTGGACGTTTATCCATATGACAAATGGAACACAAAGGTGACACACCTTCTGGAGGAGAGAAACCCAGTTATTGCTTTTGAAATCCTTTTCTGCTGAGCAGCGATATGGGATTTGTCATGTAGTACGTCTGTCTGCATATTTAATTCCATAATGGATATTCTAGGAACCATAACTCCTATAATGCACTGTACTGGTTTGTGGTGCTACCGCGTTTCCCCGAAAATAAGACATCTCCAAAAATAAGCCCTAGCCGTTTGCTAATCTGCGTTTGGGGAATTTTCCCCAAACATAGATTTGAGGAATTCCATTCGCTAGTAAGTTTATCTATGTTCGGGGAGGTTTCTCCGAACATAGATACGCAAGAGTCCATTCACGAGTGAACTAATCTATGTTCGGGGAAGTTTCCCCAACAGGATTCCATGCCCTAGTGAATTGGTCTATGTATGGGGGAATTCCCCTTGTATGTAGACCTGCATTCTAGCACATGTTTTTCCCCCAAAAAAATAAGACCACCCCCCCAAAAAAAAGCCCTAGTGGGATTTTTGGGGTAAAAATTAATATAAGACCCGGTCTAATTTTCGGGAAAAGACAGTAGGAGTACTCTGGTGACATCCAATAATAAACTAAACCCTGTAAGGCATATTATGCCAGAAAATATGAATATTATTCTATTACTCACATTGAAGGTCACAACTAAGAAAAAATTGTATCACATCCATTTTTGTAGCTATTTAAAACCAAATAGCAGGGGGAGGGTGGGGGGGAATTGTGACATTGAGAAAAGTTGAGATAGCAAGTTGTTCATTGACACCCAAATGCCTTATTAGACAATGGTCTAATTCAATTTTCGACTTCAAAACACTTAAACTTCTTTAGCAAAGGCAGTAAACAAATAGATTTGGTTGATTCTGCCAAGCTATAAAATCTAGTGTGTGCTTACTCAAACAATAGAGGGTTTTCCATCTCATGATGAATGAGAAGAAGACTCAAAGTCCAGATTACAAGCCCTCTTGTGAGAGTAATAAGAATGGGGGTTAATATTGAATGGTCTGACTGAAATGAAGTCAGGATTGATATTTTAAAGTATGTCTGAAAGGCAAAGTATAATCATTATATTATAGTATAGCATGTAAGCTCTCAAACGGTGTACAAACGGTTTGGCACATACTCCGTTCTGTTAGGCTTTTAGTCTGCACTGATAGGATAATGGGGAAGTTCATACATCTGCATATCTTCATGTATTGCCTGCAATAATTAAATGAGAGGGGCATTCTATTTTGAGGCACGATATTTAAAAGCTGATTTGCTAAGACATATAATGTGGTCGTTGAGAGGTTAAAATGCAACATATTTTCTCTCCCTCCAAAAGCAAGCCAATGGCAGCTACAAACAACTTCTATACTTATAGACTGCATATTTATCGGATCTGTTATTTTATTGGTAACTGGCTTATCAAATCATCGCAGGTTTGCAAACGGACCGGTCTTTCAAAAAAAAAAAAAAATCACACTAGAATCTTCCAGTTTAGTTTTTTTGGGTTTTGTTATTGTTTTGCGGATAAATTAGTACGACCGCTACAGCATGTGCCTGTCTTTTATACACAGCTTGCAGGTGCCGATTATTTGTCGTTCCTAAAATCTGTTTGTTACTTTAGATTATTCCTGTATATGAAATGGGTGCCAGATTTCAGCCCACCACAGTGGAGATGGTAGATGGGGAGACAAGCCCACCCCAACTACTAACTGAAGCAGATCTCATTTCTCTTATGGAGAAACATGGAATAGGTGAGTTGCAACAAGCATTAAGGCACATTCAGGATATTAGGTCTACCAGTGACATTTGTAAAAAGTATTTTCCTACCCATACAGTAACAAATATGTAAAAGGTTTTGTTTTGCTGTAAATACCAATGCTGGCCTGCCATGATCAGCATTAAGCATGTTAAATACATTATTCTGTTCCTTTTATAACTAAATCAGAAGTCAAAGTTTTAATAACACTAATTAAAAAGAACAGAAACTTATTTCTCTTAATCTGTGCATGTGTGTGCAAGTCTCCCCATTACAGGTAAATCGTGTTTGTTTGTTTATACTCTCTATAGTTTTAGGAAATGTTTCGAGCGAGTAGAACCTGCTTTCTGACCCTGCAACCTTTCCATTTAGTATATATTGGCTTCTACTTTTATTTTGTAATTGGCTGTGTCCTGTTATTCATTCAGATTGATTCCTGTTGGAGTTTCAGATTGCTTATTGCTTGTATCCCTGCAGGTACTGATGCTACACATGCAGAGCACATTGAGACCATCAAATCACGCATGTATGTGGGTCTCACGGCAGAACAGAGATTTCTCCCTGGAGAGCTGGGGATGGGGCTGGTGGAAGGTGAGATTCCCCATTCCCACGTCTACTAAACCAATAAGAGGATTATATGTAAAAAAAAAATGTTTGGGGGGTGTGAGACTTTTACTGGTTGCTCCAGCCTGCATACCCACTTCCACCTTTAGAAGCACTTATGGTGGAAGGAATCTGTATGTGCAATGATTCGGCTTGAAATGCTGCACTTAAAGAGAGAGATCCACTTTTGTGCCAAGGGCTAGTTACACCCCTGGCATACGTGAACAGCTGCCTAATGTTAATTCTGTGAAAAATTACATCTGTCGTCGTGCACACTGTGCACTTGCAACAGACTTAATAAGCATCTACAAGGGGAATCTTGTATCTCTGCACCTTACATTGACTGTTGTTGGTCCCGGTAAATTTTAACCTAATTTAATGGGGGATTGACATTGAAATAATATTAGAAAGAGTTGGAGTAACCCTTTAAGGAGTTTGAGACAGCCTCCTCTTACTAAGAGGTCACTTGAACTCTCTAATTCTTTACTTACAAACCATTCACACACCCTCCGAAAATATAAATTGACAAATTACATTTTCTTCCCATGTACAAGACTCATATAGCCACAACAAATATACTTACCAGTGACTAACCTAAAATATAATGTTCTGTAAAAGTACCTTAAAAATATGGCGCATAATCACTGCTCCTTATTGTTCCTAAACTCCCAGAGTCTGCTTAGGAACCTGGATATTGAAATATGAAGTAGACTTTATTACCCTTTCTTTGCCATTCCATAGGATACGATTCCATGGGCTTCGAGATGTCCAAACCAGATCTTCGTGCTGAGCTGGAGTCTGATCTGAAGTTGGTCAGCGAAGGGAAGAAGGACAAATTCACGGTTCTAAGACAGCAAATCCAGAAGTATAAGCAAGTCTTCATAGATGCAGTAGAGAAAGCCACCAAGTGAGTCTTTTTGTGTGTGGGCATATTTTGGGTTTAATTTAAATTTACTTGGGGAACCTTAATGTCAGATTCCTTATTAGCTGTGGTAACATAAATAATCTTAGAGTTGAGTAGGATTTTGTTAGATATTGAGAGACTAGGAGCCAGAACAGGGTGGAAAGTTTGATGAAAGGCAGTTGCTCAGTGCTCTCCTACCCAGGCAGTAGAGCACTGCCACCACAGACCTACAATTCTCGACAAGCCTTAGAGATAAAGCAGATTATTTACAGTGTTCCAGTATGGGGAATGTGGTAAGTGATATGTCTTGGTGCACACTTATTGTGCAATGAACCCATATATTTCTTTTACTCTTCAAAGGCTGGACGAGGCTTTGTCGCAGTACTTTGGGCAAGCAGCGCAGTCTGTCCCGCAGCAGGAGATCTACACGGAGACTCCCCTTCCTGTACGGAAATGCCCACAGTGCAACAGGGACATGGTACTGAAGACAAAAAGAGATGGAGGGTCAGTGACTATCTAAACATACAGCAAAGGGATTTCTAAAGTATCTCTCAATTAATTCATGAAATAATCTTCTGATATTTATAGGTGTGCTGGCCAAAGCCCACTTGAATAATGTTCTGTACTAACTGTACATTTAGAAAGCTGACAGCTGGCCTTCAACTCCCATAAATCTCTGCCAGATAGCCTCTCTGTAAAATGTATTCATAATGATCAGGTACAGTTATATAACTGGAGCATAAATGGAAACGCTGATGGTTGGGGAGGGGTTCTACACTACTAACCCAGCTTTAAAAGTTACTTGCCACTGCAAGTCCATGGCACACTCACCAGGGGTAAGTGTGGGTGGCTGAAGAATGACTATGAAAACATAGCATCAGTTTGGGTCCAGTAACTTTCTATGTGGAATGGTCAAAATGCAAAAAAGGTTGAATTTCCTTAAATTTCTGAATGACCTCTTTAAAGAAATGTTCTTTGTATGTAATGTGGCAACAAAACATTAGTTTATTTAAATAGTTACACATTGTGTTTTTTTTCTCTCTCCCTAGTTTTTATCTGTCTTGTGTGGGGTACCCAGGCTGCAAAACGTCTGTGTGGTTTCCCAGCTCTGTCCTTGAAGTCTCTCGAGATGACAGTATCTGCACAACATGCGGGCCCCATCCAGTCCACAGGTGATGGAACACCCTGCAAAGCATTCAGCTCTGGAACATTATATTGTAAAGGAATTTCTGGGATATTTGTGTATATAGTGTATTTCAAATTTAAGGCCAAACGTGAAACCTAAAAGACTTGGAGAATTCTGCCAAGCTTGATGATTTGGGCCTTCTATTTGAAATTCACTTTGACTTCCTTACAATGAGTACTTACAGGGTAATTCACTATAGTGAGAATTGCAGGGAATTCAAAGTGAATTTCAAACTGAAGGTCGAATCGGAAGCATAGCTAACTGTGAGAATCTTTCTGGCTCAGCTATTTTGATCTAACTTTTATTTTTTGAATTCATTATTTTTGCAGTGCATAGTTTGATGCATAAGCTCTCTTAGACACTGCATTGGTGAAGCCAGCTATCAGAGTCTAGGACAGCAGTTAAAGGAACACTGTCACATGTGGGGTTTTATACAAACCATAAATAATATAGAGCTATTTTTCTTTATTTTATTATTTGCATTGTATACATGGCTTTCCTAGTGCATCCATATCATGTAAATACATATACCTGCCATGGTACAGAGCATGAGCGTGAATGTGTTCATATGACATTTTTTATCATAATTTTTTTTTACCTAGAAGGATGCATTCAGATTCCTCTCACTCTCAAATGTGACCTGGAGAGCGCATTCACACACATTGTTACACTTGTAGTTAGAGACATATAAGGTACATTTACAGATACCTTGGTCCACGTAAAATTATAAATGAGCATTGAGTGTCCGGAACACATACATGCATTTCTGACACTGTAGTCCTGAAGTGGTTGTTTAGGTGACTGCCCCCCTCTCTTTGTAGTAAAAAGGTGAATTTACTCCCCTTTTTTCCACGCCATGCCAGTCTTGCCATTGCTGGCTTCGCCTGCATGGCTTAGATCATTAAACTTGATGATCTCAACCAATCCAGTGCTTTACCATTGGAAAGCATAGGGAGACTATTGCGCATTTGTGGTAAAACTTTGCATCTCCTTATTGATGCATCTCTATGGGGAACGTTCAGCGTCCCCATGCAGAGCGTGGAGACACTGTGCAGCACTCACCCAGGAAGCACCTCTAGTGGCTGTCTTCGTGACTGCCCCTAGAGGTGTTACTAGCCAGCAAAGTAAGAACTGCCTTTTCTCTGAAATGGCAGTGTTTATAGTGCTAACACTGCAGGGGCATGCTGTAGACACCAGAAACCCTACATTAAGGCATTAAGCTGTATTGGTTCTGGTGACTGGAGTGTACTTTTAATGGATGCATGTGTTTTTAAGGACTTCAGATTGAGGGCAAAGTTGCTATTTTTTAGGGAGTTTACTCGACATACAGGAAGATTTAAAGTAGAAAGCATATAATAGGCATTACCTACATACAAAGTTTCGTGGACGTAATTTTGTTTTATACTTTCGATGAATTCACTGACCATTCCTCTTTAAAAGCTTAACATGCAGAACTGCCAGGGGCTGTGATGTGTACTGCATCCAAATGTATTAACCTTCTGAGCTGTAAGAAGGGATCTGTAAATGGATTGCAGCTTGTAATTAGTTTCTGTTCTTCTAGGCTAAAGATGAAATTTAAACGGGGCAGCATTCCACCCCTCATGCCCCTGGAGTTTGTGGGGTGCATTGGTGGATGTGACGAGACCCTTCGAGAGATTCTGGACCTTAAATATCTACATGGTGGAAACAGAGTGCCCACTGCTGCTCCTCGTGATGGGAATCAACTTCAGGTGAACCAGAGCAGCAACCACACGTCAAACCGAGGCGGACCAGGCCGTCAGCCACCAGCCAAAAAGGACAAACAACCTGCACTGGTGATGCCTGCTGTCCCAAGAGGCCCTCTGGCCAACACCAACAACAGTGACAGTAATGAAGTAGTCTGTAATTGTGGTGTGAGTGCAGTGCAACTAACAGTGCGTAAAGAGGGACCCAATCAGGGCCGGCCCTTCTACAAGTGCAATGGGGGTGCATGCAACTTCTTTCTGTGGGCGGATCAAGAAGGTGGAGCCAGCAGGACTACGCCACCTTCACAGTCCTCTACAACACGCCCCTCAGGTGCATTCACCAATCCAAGGCAGCCCCAGGACAGCTTCAGGCCCAGAGGGGGGAGTGAAGACTCGGGAGCTGGGGGAGAGGCTGTGTGTAACTGCAACCAGCCAGCAGTAACCCGTACAGTTCAGAAAGATGGCGTGAACAAAGGCAGACAGTTCCACACCTGCGCTAAGCCCAGAGAACAGCAGTGTGGCTTTTTCCAGTGGGCGGATGAGAATGTCCCTCCAGGTGAGAAATCAAGGTGGGGTAAGGTGGCATCTTGTGTGTTCCTTGAATATCTTACTGCATTGCCATTTACCACCAGCTGTCATGGGTGACCAATTAGGCATATTCTCCAGCAATGCACAGTAGATGCTTATCGCGTGTCCCTGCACTCTGTATATTCCAGTCCCTTACAGACTGGTCTGTACACGTACCAAGCAGGCTAGCTGTCAGGATTAAATGGGCATACTCTTCAAACTGGTAAGAGTTATATTTGGTGTACAGAGTAATGTTAGGTATGCGGTTTACCAATGTAAGCAGTGATTTGAACCATTGGATTTAAAACTTGCCCTTTTGTCCTCAGAAAATAATTCATTTATTTATCCTTGTAAAATGTTCCTTTCATATTCTTCCTTTCTTCTAGGCTCTTCAACCAACTTCTCAAGCTCGTTTGGAGGGGGATCAAGTGTGAGAGGTTCAGGAGCCAAAAACAAGCGCTCAGATTATGGTTCAGAAAGAGGGCCTACAGCAAAGAAGCCACGGACATGTGGTATCTGCCATCAGACAGGACACAACCGGACAAACTGCCCCCAGAACCAATGACATCCTTTATATTTTTTTATTTTTATATATATATATATATATATATATATATATATAGTGGCCTATCACAACCAATACTGGCTACAATGTCCAAAACTTTATTAGTAGAAACTTTAGTATTTTATATTTCAGAGCATATATTTTAAGAATATGTTCTCCATTTTCTAATGCAACGTGAGACTTGTAAAAGGGGGGGACACGCTTAAAATTGAAACCACCTTTACTTTCAAACAGATAAGTATCAGGCACCATGCAAAGAGAGTCAAAGAATGTGATCCCGCAGTTAACTTGTTCTAGACCAGGGTTGATTGGTGCTGAAAGGGTTAATTTGAGAGACAGAACCGCTTTATATGAATGTATGTGTCTTTTTATGTGGCTGTTTGTGCTCTATTGGAAAATGGGGGTAAGCTTAAGTACAAGTCTGTATTTTCCATTTACTCGATCAGGATTGAGAGCCATTTTCTTTAAATATATTGGTAATCGTATCTTCTGCTGTCCCTGCGAAGATCTCCTACACTATTTCATTTCCAGCAATTAATATTACAAATTCTTATTGGTTTGGTGGTGGTGAAAACCAAAAGAAGTTGGTCTGATTTATCAATTAGTATTAATTAGTTGACGTTTGTGTGCTATTCACAAATACATTTTAGGAACTAGGTCTGATAGAAAGCCTTCCAGATTAAATGAATACCATAATGAGCACACGCACTTTGAAAAGTTGGATAAAGCACAAGGATGTACATTTATAGAGGTGACTGAGTATCATGGGAGTTGTAGTGCTTGTTGGCTTATAACCATTGAAATGCTATGGCATACCTGTTTTTAAAAATGGAATGTTTCACACATTTATACTGGGGTGTTAACCTTGAAATAACCCGAGTTCCTAGGAAACCTTACATTACTCATGCCCAACCTACATTTTGCCTAGCAGTTCAGAGATTCCCCACCACTACTGTTACATATTCCATTCAACATTGCAACAGCCAATCTGCATGAACACATGGGATATTCAAACAGCTATGGAAAACTCTATTTATCATATCTGAGAATGCTCCAATTTTGAGCTGACTTGTACATTACTGGGTTTGTTCCTATGTTCAATACTAAAAAAAAACAAAAAACTTTCAATATGATTTAATCTTGCTATTTTTTTTAAAATTGTGGTTTTTAACTTTTCAATTATTTTTTTTGTCTAATTGTTTGTAAATATTCAAATAAACTTTGAAAAAAGTTTTATAAAGAACATATTTCTAGGATGATACAGCATTTCTTTAAAAGACACTTGTAATAGTTATTGTGCAGGAGTGCAGCCTGTTATTGCTGTTCGTTTGTAAAAGTAAAATCCCTTTTTATTTCCGTGGCTGGACTTAAACTGATTGAAAATCTGTTGATCGAACATTGGAGAGCAGCACTCAAAAATCTTTCTAAACTCCTTCAACTGTTTATTTCAATCTGAAAGTAATAGTTTTTTTTCTGTATCATTGTATGGAGTACTGGAAAAGCAAACCAAGCACCATGACGCTGTCCACCTATAAAATCTTCATTGCCTTGGAAGCATGTCCATTAACTCAGGGCTATGGCTTGCATTGGACATGTTACCGAGTTACCGGGTATTTTAACACGTTCTATGCTTTGTTTTGTGTGATCTATATGTTGAATGTGGTTGCAGGGACTTGATGACTGACCTGCAACTATTATGCCAAAAATAAAACTAACAAAAACTCCAATACTATAGAAACTATATATATATATATTTATTTTTTCCTCCTCATAAAACCCTTAAGTTCTAAATGTTATCAAATCCACCCCCATTTTGCAAATTAGTGATTTGACTATTTATTCTTTTTGGAGAAAGCGGATAAATATGCGGAGTACAACACAACTCCTATTCCTACAGAGATGACACCAATCTCTGAAAGTGGGGTTATTCACCAATATAAGAAAATTCAAAGTGAATTGCATTTTTAAAGGAACACTATATAGTCAGGAACACAAACATGCATTAAAACACTATCTAATACCCCTTGCCTTTCTTAATCATACCTTATTTCCAGTCTGCCAGCGCTGACTCTGCCCACAATCCCCCTCTTTGGCTGACATCAGAAGTGATGATCTCAGCCTATCACAATGCATTCCAATAGGAAAGCATTAGATTGGCTGAGATTGTCAATTGTGATATCAGCCGAGGGGGTCGGATTGGGGGCAGAGTCAGCGCTGGCAGACTGGGAATAAGTTACGATTTAGGAGGCCCTGGCTAATCCGCATCTCCTCATAGAGTTCAGTGTCTCTATGCAGAGACACTGAATGTCTGCCTGAGGAAGCACCTCTAGTGGCTACTGGAGTTGGCCCAGGGAGCAATGTAAACACTGCCTTTTCTCTATAATAGTGTATAGAACAAAAGTCTGTATCTTTGTAGCAATGTATTGTTACGATTGGGGTACCTCGGGGATCTGTACTTGGACCCAATCTCTTTAATATTTTTATTAATGATGTTGCAAAAGGCCTTGATATGCAAGAAAAAGTAGGAATGTAGACAAGTTTGATTATTAAATCTCCTTTACCACTGTAGCAGCAGACATATCACCTAGCGGTAACAAAAACATTTAGAGATATTTAAATGTACACTTCAGAGAAAGAAAAAAAAAAAACCAGACACAGCCAAAAGCCATCTTTATTATCACAAATTAGGTTATTTTAGAAAACAGATGCGAGAAAAAAAGTAGAAGCAGCACACACGGCTAGAACTGAGCCGAGCTATAGATCATTATTTAGCTTTTTTTCACCAATAAGCAACCAATTCCTTTTTGATCGCAACAGATGCTAATATACTATGGTAAATCAGTTTTATATATTAATATTCTACACCCATCTCAAAAGCAGGAAAGGTCAAATCATAGCTGTGAGAAATGCAGTGCTGAAGATAGAACAGACCTACCAGCAAGTACTATGTTTAGCTCCCATAAACTGTTTTTAGGTAACGCAGAAGTTTGGCACATATAAAATATTTATTTTTATGTACATGGGAAAGAGAAGGGTTCTGACAGACCTTTTTGGATTTAAGGGTTTGGCTAGTATTTTTACTGTATTACTCTACATGTGACTACTAGAAACACTAAGGGCTGTTTATTCACTAAACAGCATCTTAGGAATGTTCCAAATATAGCATTATACAGTTGCGGAAAATTGAACTCTCAAAAATGCAGCTCTTATGACTTAATCTTGAGTTAACTCACTGTATATTGAATAAATGCCAGTATAAAGAGAAAGCAATTATAAAAAAATACTCTAAAGCTCTGGCACCATTCTGACTATTTGATGGTAATGTTTTATACCCACATTAATGTGTTAGAAACACGATGCCAGTTTAAAAGACACTGGATGCATGGTACTTAACGTGCTTTTCAGGTTAACACAGGGGCCCAGCTCAAATCCCCCCCCAATACAGAGGAAGAAGTACTAATTAAAGTACAAAGTGGGTGTATCAAAGCTTCAATCTGAGAATGTTATAAGAAATGCAGCCCACAAGGCCTTTACCTCTTACTTGAAATTGTGAGACGGGATTTTAAAGAGAGGGCCAATACTGATAAGCATAGAAGTTCTGCCTACAATATAAAGCCTTCACTTGCTACAGAAAAGGTAATCAATCCTCTCAGAAAATAAACTGCCTGGATTTGGTTAATAGATTATCCTCCTACAGCATACAATTGCTACACACTGCAGTTCAACATTTTTCAAATGCTGCTTCCCATCAGCTTGAAAACACAACATATCCAGGAAACCAAGGAGGATCTGATAGCTCTACATATCAAATTAGAGCATAATTAAAGAACACTATAGTCACCAGAATAACTGCAGCTTATTGTATTTGTACTGGTGAGTATAGTCGGTCCCTGCAGGCTTTTTGCAGTAAACACTGTCTTTTCAGAAAAAGGCAATGTTTACATTACAATCTAGGGACACCTCCAGTGGCCACTCCTCAGATGAAAACTAGAGGTGCTTCCAGGGGCAGTGCTGCACACTGAACTTTCCTTTGCATTGATGTGAATGCATCTCGATGAGGAGATGCTGAGGGCAGCGTTTCACAGCTGGCCGTCTCCTTGGCCAAGATCATCACAATTGACAATTTCAGCCAATCCAATGCTTTCCTATTGGGAAAGCATTGTGATTGGCTTAGATCACTTCTGATGTCAGCCAAGAAAGCAGATCATGGGCAGAGCCAGTAGACTTGATTAAAAGGTAATATTGAACTATAATTAGGGGTGGGGGGAGGGAAGCAGGTAGTGATTTTTACAGGAATACATTTGTGTTCCTGGCCCTTTAATGCTTCTTTAATCAAATGATGGCCAAGCTTGCCTGAACTACGTTTCCCATGATGCTCATCCAGGGCCAAAGTTAACCATTCATTAAGTATGAACAAGGGCATACCAGTTGCTTGAAAATATTAGCGTGTAGCTGAAAGGCCCAAATAAAAAAATTTTTTATTTTTTTTTAAAAAGTGTTTCCCTATTCAACTTTCTTATTAATTTTCAAACTGTGCATTTCATATTAAGAGTGAAATAGTGTGCCATCCTCTACGATCAAAAACACTTAGAATTCCCATCAATTTCCACTTTAGTGAACAACCTAGATAACAGATTTTCATGATGATGAAAAAGCAGGAATGAAATTGGAATTATTCTTAATTCATATAATTGTAGGAGTCCATAGTAGAAGGAATTTGGGGAGGAGAGGGGAGGGGAGGGGAGAAAGGAGGAGAATTAAAAATAAAAACCTTTTAGGAAAAACATGCCCTTCCCAAGTGCCGAATATAAACTATACATGAAAAGCTATCCTCTGCACTCATGGTTATATTACTTACATCTAATGTATGATTCAGTATTAACAAAATATATGAATACAAACTGGATGTATTTTTTTCAGTATTGCACAGTTACCAGAAATAACAACTAGGTTTGTTGGTCTAGATCTGTCTGTAATAAAAAGGGGGGTGATGGCTTCCCCTGTAGTCCATACGCCAATTTGAAATGGATTTATCTAGTTTGAAAATAATTGCTGCTCAGAAAAATGGTACCATACTAAAATATATAGTTTTTCTTAAGCACTTACATATGTTAAAGCATAGTATCAAAATTTTGAAAAAAGAAACACACACACAGTCATCTATAAAATGTGCCTTCTCTCCAGTCACCAGTACCCTGACATGTAAACTGCAATCTGTCAAACCACACAAATTAAAGTGGGAATAGAAAGTTAGAAGAAGCAGCCATTGGATGAGTCTGGCAGACTGAAGCATGAGCGCCATTATTGCCAATAAGGGGATATTGGTTGTGCTCTCCCAGACAGGAAGATCTGAACATATTAACTGCAGCTTAGAAGGTCTGAAAAAAAAAAATCAGACTATTAAAATAATGTACATCAACATGAATGTTACATATTTTCAACAGTAAGAATGTCCTGGTTGAACAGTAATAACACCAGTATACCATTTACATTGACATTATAGCACTCTGCAGACACTTTCTGTTAATATTCTTCTGATAGCATATAAGAAGCACCTGTATAATTTGCACAGGTAACCCATCACAAGAAGTAGAATCCTGTAACACCTAATCTGCCAGAGAGATTTGTGTTTTACATCCTAATAGCCAATACATAGCACTGAACACGATCTTTATGTAATGGCAAGTTTCCTTGAAACCTGTTCTTGGATACTCCATGATGGAAAGACCAGGAAATTAATCAAAATGAGATTTATTTTAGTGCAAATTAAAAATATGTCCAAATATTTGCAGCATACCCACTTTTCAGCTCACCCACTTTTCAGCTCCTGTTAGAAATGAGCAGAATTTCACATATCACGATGTATCACCAGCAGATTGTATCTGGAACAGAAGTGTTCTAAGTGGTTGCTTTGAACACTGAACAGGATAAAACAGAGAATGATTTCTGGAGTTTTCAATCAAACCACCTTCCTCCTGTACTTATTTGCTCTTTTTACTGTCTGTGCACTTCTGAAGATTGCAGTGAATGAAGGGTTAAGAGAAAAAAAAACACACCACACACAAATCATTTTGCCAAGAAAGAATCTGGTTCAGAGAACACCTGATACAAGCCATAACCAAGCTCGTCAATGTCCTCATCCCTTAGATAGGAGAATAAGTTGACTTTACTGTTAAAATAACTAGGGAGGAAACCTTTCTCCAGATAACCAATCAGTTCCTCAATAACCTGCAGGAATCGGTTGGCCAGCTCTGCCTCCGTCCATTCAGAAGTGTCATTATTAAGATGCAGGATTGCATTTCTCAAATGCGCAGAGGACAGTTTGCTGAGGGAGGAGTTTTCTTTGCAGATACCTTTTAGAATCTGGAAGCACTGCTGTCTAACTCCTGCATCTGCACCATCCAGTTTCTGCATCAGACTTGTCTCCTCCTTACAGAAACTTTGGCACCAAAGATTTTCTGAGGGGGCATTAGGATGATAGTGGGCAAGAAGGAAGAAGTCTTTGGTGGCCGTGGATGGGATTATGTGTAGAATGGACTTAAAGTTAGAATGTGTCACTTCAAGTTTAAGGTCATCTGGTGCTATAACTGGTTGGAGAATACAATCTAACACGGCTCCTATTGCAGGCCAGTTGACAGATCCTGAGATTGTTTTGTGCAAGGTTTCCACAATCGACCTGGAGGACAGGTATCCACCTACCATAAACTTATCCCAAGGGCTGCTTCCCCGGGCTGTATATTCCAGGTCTGCCCTCTTTACCATCCAGAAATGGGGGTCATTAAGGATAGTCTCTTGTC